ACTCTCAACCCTGCATCCTCTACAATGCTTGAGAGTGGTGCCATTCCTTTGCCTCAAGAATTATTCTCTTGGCCAGAGAGGGCTGCTCAGGGGCTTCCTTTTGACTTCTGCAACTTCAGTAGCTCTTACTGTATGAGCCATGGAACTGACGTGAGGGTTCTGCCAACTTCTGAGTATTGCACTTGGGAGCCCCAGAGTACATGGTCTGTGTTAGGATTCAGGGTACCACTGACACCTTAGCAATAAGAGAGATGCAAAGATGTCATATGTCCATTTACATGGACTCTGCATCTGTGAGGTATCCAAGCATTCCTTTTTCCACAGAGTAAATGAAATGGCCATTGGTTTCTGGGGAAGGTTCTGGAGAATCACTACTGTGTATATTTGTCTTTATTGGACAGAATTTGGGAAATTGAGAACTGGCTCAGGTGAAGGCAACTGGGCAAGTGATTGTGGTTCTACTGAAAGAGCTTAATTTCAATCCTCTCTTGGTACCCACTGCCTTAAGCCTAGCTATCTAGAAGTGTGGGGCATGATACGGAATTAGGTGCTTTAGATACATTTAGGGAGTGTTTTGGAGAGAAGGTAATAAAAGAGAGGGCAGGGGAAGGAGTTAAGAAAGAATAGACTCGGGGCTGGGAAGGTGGCTCAGTGGTAGAGTGTTTGCCTTGCATGCATGAGGCCCTGGGTTCAATTCCTTAGCACCACATAAGCAGAAAAAGCTGGAAGTGGTGCTGTGGCTCAAGTGGTAGAGCGCTAGCTTTGAGCAGAAGAGCTGAGGGACAGCACCCAGGCCCAGAGTTCAGGCCCTATGACCGGAAAAAAAAAAAAGACTCTGGGTGGGAGATTATTGTTCTTTCAGATAAGAATAGTACTCTGGAGAAGGGGCAGCTGTGAGTTAATATCAGCCAACTCTCATAAACAGAGGAAGAGGACAGTCAGTGAGTAGAGGGGCCAGTAGACATGAATAGCACCCTCCCTTGGGATTCTTGAGTGAAGTTCCTCAGGAAGAAAAGACAAAAATGATGAGATCTACCTATCACATCTTTGCTTCCCAGGACTGAGGGTGACAGTGGGGTACATGGCGTTGGCTTTAGCAAGAGGACAATGATAAAGGAGTGATCTTCTGTAGGTCACACAATGTGTAAGAACAAAGTGAAATCCCGAAACAAGTCACTTTTGATTAAACTCTGGTCTGGAGATAAGTTTCTAGGACAAGTTTGCTAGTCATTTTCAGGCAGATTAAGCTGTTTGAAGGCAGGGACTTCATATTCTTTGTAAGCTCTTCATTTTGTTGTCAGTTTGCTAGAATAAGTGACATTGGATCTCTTTAGAATCTTTTCTGTTTGCTTTGAGGTCACAGAAGGAGTAGGGAGGTACGTTTTCCTCTCCAAGAATCTGGCTGAAGTGTTAGTAGCCCTGTGGTTCAAGTTGTAGGGTGCTAGCCTTGAGCATAAACAAGCTCAGAGACAGTGCCCAGGCCCTGAGTTTAAGCCCTACAGCCAACCAAAAACAAATGGAAAAACAACCAACAATAACAAAAAGATTTGAGGCCAGGTGTGGTGGCTCAAGCCTGTAATCCTAGCTACTCTAGAGGCTGAGATCTGAGTTTCTTGGGTCAAGGCCAGCCCGAGCAGAAATGTTGGTGAGATTCTCATCTCCAATAAACCACCAGAAAACCGAAAGTGGGAAGGTGGCTCAGTGGTAGAGTGCTTGCCTTGCATGCATGAGGCCCTAGGTTTGATTCCTCGGCCCCACATAAGCAGAAAAAGCTGGAAGTAGTGCTGTGGCTCAAGTGGTAGAGCACTAGCCATAAACTGAGACTAGAAAACTGGAAGTGGTGCTATGGCTAAGGCAGTAGAATGCTCGCCTTGAGCTGAAGAGGGCAGGGACAGTCAGTGCCCAAGCCCAGAGTTCAAGCCCCACAACAACAACAACAAAAGAAAAAAAGAAAACAAGAAAACCAGAAGTTGCACTTTGGCTCAAGTGGTAGAGTGCGGTAGAGCACTAGCCTTGAGCTGAAGAGCTGAGGGACAGCGCCCAGGCCCAGAGTTCAAGCCCCATGGGCAACAACAACAACAAAAGAATCTGGTTGAAGAATTCTGAAGGACCATTCAAAAAAATAGCTGGGCATGGTGGTGCACACCTGCAATCCTAACTACTCAAGAGGTAGATATAGTTGAATCCAAGTCTGCGGAGCTGTGTTTGAAAACAAACAAAAAATAGCAAAAGTGCTAGCTTGGGGTATGGCTTAACAGCATCAGTGTTTACAAGCATGAAGCCTTGAGTTCAATCCCCAGTACTGCCAAATAAAACACTTTTATTATTTAAGTAGCTCATTTAAGGGACCAACAGAAGGTGCAATTTATTCATAGACTATGTGTAAAAGAAGCTTAATTTATGAGACTTCTAAGGGAAGTATTTTGAAAGACCACAGAGCTCGGGTGATTATCAAGAATTTTCCTCTTAGCCAGGCACTGGTGGCTCAAGCCTATAATCCTAGCTACTCTACAGGCTGAGATCTGAGGATTGCAGTTCAAAGCCAGCCTGAGCAGGAAAGTCTGTGAGACTCTTATCTTCAATAAATCACCACAAAACGGGAAGTGGTGCTGTGAGTCAAGTAGTAGAGTGCTAGCCTTAGCTGAAGAGCCCCCAGGCTCAGAGTTCAAGCCCCTTGACTGACAAAAAAAAAAAAAAAAATGGCCTCTTCAGTTCCTTAGCTCTTGGATTGAGTCATCTGAAAGTCATTTGGAAAAGGCAAGAAAATGAGCCCATCTCTCAGTTCTTGAAAGTCTCTGTTAAAAAGGACATGGTAGCCGGGCGCCGATGGCTCATGCCTGTAATCCTAGCTACTCAGGAGGCTGAGTCTGAGGAACTTGGTTCAAAGCCAGCCAAGGCAGGAAAGATCATGAGACTCCTATCTCCAATAAACCACTAGGAAACCAGAAGTGCCGCTGTAGCTCAAGTGGTAGAGTGCTCGCACTTGAGCTGAAGAGTGGAAGGACAGCACCCAAGCCCAGAGTTCAAGCCCCACGACCGACCAAAAAAAAAAAAAAAAAAAGCCATGGTGAAAAAGTGAGAGAAGGGATGGGTTAGGAGAGATGGGTGACAATGTTGTCAGACACTTTTTACTCATATACTGTTTTGTAGAATGGGAATATCTTTGTACAACTACTTAAAGATAATTTTTAAAAAAGGCCATGGTGAAATTTCATAACCATCCTTCATCAGGAAGAAAGTTGTGGTATTAATCTTGAAAGTGAACACTGCCGTCTGCAGGATGGAAATTCTCCTTTCTGTTTCGTCTGCAGGATGGAAATTCTTCTTTCTGTTTCTAAAGGTCTTTAGCGTTGTGATACAAATGTAAAACTGTTACATTTTTCAATAGGCAACCTATTAGGAGGAGGGCTCAGAGGGCTGCCTAAGGAGGCACTCATAGACTTTTTAGCAGCTGCTGGAAGATCTGAGTGGGGCAGGATGCTGGGGATTGTAGGAGAATCCGTAATGGCTGCAACACATAAAGAAGAAAGGAAATTTGGGGATTCTCCCCCTCCCCATAGGGTAGGTGTGTCTATGTCTGTATGCTGGCCTCAAAATCGAGATATTCCTGCTCTAGTCTCCCAAGTGATGGGGAATTTGGGGCTTTTAATGTCAGACTAAAGAGTTTAGACTTTTTCTTTTCTGTTTTTTTTTTTTTTTTTTGAGGGGGGGTCTGGTCGTGGGGCCTGAACTCTGGGCCTGGGCGCTGTCCCTCAGCTCTTCAGCTCCAGGCTAGCGCTCTACCACTTGAGCCACAGCGCCACTTCCGGCTTTTTTTCTTTTTGCTTATGTGGTGATGGGGAATCGAACCCAGGGCCTCAGGCATGCAAGGCAAGCGCTCTACCACTGAGCCACTTTCCCAGCCCCGAGTTTAGACTTTTCTATGGGCTGAGGCTCCGAGGAGGGGGGCGGGAATCACATTGCTTTGATCTGAGGTTTTGAAAGATCACACTCCTCGTGAGTGGAGAATCAGAGAGATGACTGACTGTCGGAAAGGGCTTGGTGAGGGAGAAAAGGATGCCGCCTTCGGGTGGATCAAATGGAGTGACTTGGTCTAAGGCACTGGATCCTGTACAGGAGGGAGGGAAGACAATGTGAAGACTCAACACAGGCCGTGCCATGTCCTTCATCAAAGCAGGCGGAAGACCGAACAGGCAGGAGTCAAGTCACGGTGGAAAGGAGCAGCAACCCGAAGCAGTCGGATGTCAGTCGGTGACGGGAAGGGTGCAAGAGTCCATGTAGAGGTTGCAGAGCTCTAGAAATTGAGGTGACATCTTGCTGATGGGGCGGACAGAAACCTTTTCCTTTCCGGAGCTGGGTTTAAGATTTCACATCTCCAGCATCTTAGATACTACGCCTCAGAGCGGAGCTCCGTTGCGATGGGGACCGGAGCGGTGGCGGTGCTGAAAGCGGAGACTGCGGGGCCGAGGGTGGCGAACCGCACTCGCGGAGTGCGAAGCGCACGCAGAGGGAGTCTTTTGAGGGTCCGTCGGTCTTCCAGGCCAGGGCCGCTGTCGTCCAGCGGATCCGGGTGCCGCGAGTCATCATTGGAACCGGCGCCGGTGTGCGGATTCGCTCCCAGGATTGCCGGGAGCAAGGCCCCGCCCCTCCCTGCCCCTGGCTTGATGGGCCAATCAGCGGCGGCCCCTCCGCGGGGGCGGCCGACCGGCGCTCTGCTGACGCGCGAGGCCAGCCTGCGAGCGCCGCCCTTTGGCGACGGCCCCTCCCGCGCCTGCCGGGCCCGTTAACTGCGCGCCGCGCCTCTTGTGCGACGGCCCCTGGGCGGTGGCGGTGGTGGCGGCGGCGGCGGCGGCGGCGGCGGCGGCGCGTGCGGGTGCGGCCTTGGCGCGCCCCCTGGCGGCCCGGCGGCGCGCTGCGGGCGCGGCGCTGACCCGGAGGCGGCGGCGGCGGTGCCCGGATGGAGGCACGTCATTGTCCCCCGCCGGGCGGCTGGGCTGTGTGCGGCGGCGGCGGCGGCGGCGGCCGAGGGGGATGGAGCGAGCACCGAGCCGGGTCAGGTAAGCTCCCCGCCTTCTTCCCGCCCTCCGCAGGCCGGCGTGAGGCCTGCCGAGCGGCCCGCGGGTCAAGACTGCAGCTGGCCCGTCCACCACCTTTGCCGGCGCGGCCCGCCGGGAACCGGCGCGGCCCCTCTGCCCGCCGTCCCCTCCGCCTTCACGGTGCCGCCCCGGGACCCCGTCGCTCCCCGGGCAGCGGCGCTGCGGCCGCGGGGCCCGGCCGGGCCTGGCCGCTGAGCAGGGGGCGGCGGCCGCGGCGGGAGGGCGGGAGGGCGGGCGGGCGCCGGGAGCGCCGGGCTGCGCGGGGAGGCCGGACCCCTCTGGTTGCCATGGACACTGCGCTCCCACCCCCACCAGCCCCAGCCCGCCCCTCGGCCCCGGGGCTGGCCAGGGTGTCCGGCCAGCTTCGGGGAGGCTCGGCGTGGCCGGGGTGGGCGTGTGCCGGCCGCAGTGGCGGAGCCGGCGGCCTTGGCCCGCCCGCCGCCCCCCGCGTGGCCGCCGCCTCCCGCCCCCGGGAGCCCCCTCGGGGGTGGGGGGGGACGGCTCGGGGCTCGCCTCCCCGCCCGCCGCCGCCGCCCCCCTTCCTCCGGCCGGGCAAACTTTCCCACCCCGGGCGTCCCCTCCCCCGCCCGGCCGTCCACCTGGCCGCCCCGCCGCGGGTGCGAGGTGCCCACGCCGCCGGCCGAGCGGCCAGCCGAGGGGTGGTGGCCGGCCCGAGGAGAGGAGGAGCCCGGGCGGCGCGTCTCCCCCAAAACGCGTGTGCCTCCTTTTAGCTTCTTTTATCTTCGGGGGGCAAGAACAAAACATCAGACTTACCTGAGGAAGGAGAGTGAGGGGTGGGAGTGGGGGTGGAGATAGGTTTCAGACGAGTGAAATAAAGATTTGACGGGACCCCAAGTTTCACGGGGTGGGACTCCAGCCCCGCTCTAGTTGAGCTGACTTTTGTTGAAGAGCTCTCGGTCTGTTTCACGGAGGCCTTCCCGGTGTTGATGGGAAAGCACGCTGGTGACTAAAAGTCCATGCCCTCCGAGTAGCAGCGAAAGCGGTGGAAAAACTAGTTAACGCCTCCGTGTTCAAAGGCACCACGGTGGTGTACGTCTGAGGCTTCTCCTACGCGTTGGGGGAATCTAAGAATTTTTCGGAGTTGTAGATAATTTTAAACATAATTCTGTTTTTTTTTTTTTTTTTTCTATCCAAAGGGCAGAGGATCTATCGGCTGCCTTTTTTTTAAACTTAGGATCAGTTTCGCTTTCTTTTCTATGATCATTGAATCAGGGCTACAATATTTGGGTTGTAAAGGTTTAAAGGGCCCAAATAGTTTTGTTTATTTAACTAATTAAGAGCAGGGTTGTATTGTTGTTGTTGTTGTTGTTGTTTAAAGCATGTGTGTCTTAAAACGGAAACCTACAAGAACCTGGGTCATATTGTTGGTGAAGCAGAATGTAAGTTTAAATGTATAGTTGATGTGATTACTTGAGTATATGGGGAGTGCCGCGATGTTTAAATAGTGATAGTCTTTTAAACATGAAGAAGGGGCTGGGAATGTGGCTCAGTGGTAGAGCGCTTGCCTAGCATGCGTGAAGCCCCGGGTTCGATTGCTCAGTACCACATAAGCAGAAAAGGCCAGAAGTGGCACTGTGGCCTAAGTGGTAGAGCGTTAGCCTTGAGCACAGAGAGGCTCAGGGACAGAGCCTAGGCCATGAGTTCAAGCCCCAGGACTGGCCAAAAGAAAAGAAAAAAGGAAAAAAAAAAGAATAATACATTCTAACATTTGGTTACCACAAGAGAGACCTAAGTAACTGAGGACTTCAATACTTCAGTAAAACATTGTTTATTCTGAGGAAACATTTGTGAAGTTGATCTGTCTCAGTTCCACATGCCTCCAACTTTGATTTATTATGTTTGTGTGCATTAAAAAAAATACATGCTCTTGTAACTTTGTGTATCATTAGGTGTTAAAAGGAATGCTAAACTTTTCATTAAAGTATTGTTGCTTAAAAGGCTATTTGGAACGGTAATATTTAGAGACTTTTCTGAGAGTAAAGAATATATACCTGAATCTTAAATTCTACAAGATATTGTCTACTTATTTCAAGCAATTGTATTTCTGTAGCAGATGGAGTTTGTAGTTTTTGATACTTGATGGTTTTAGGGTAAGATTTCAATGGCTGAGTGTATAAAGAAGACAGTTTTTGGTGGTTTCTTTTTTTAGGGTTTTTTTTTTAAGTGTTTAATTTTCTTTCTTTTTGTTTTCATTTAGGAGTTTTTTTTTTTTCCTCTGCTTTTTATTCAGCAAGTAAAATGTTTTCTAGGTCTTTTTTGTCATTTGTTAATCATTGTCTGGAAGGCTTAGTTGTCTCAGGAAAGTGAAAGTTTTGCTGCTACTTTATTACTGTAAATTAAAGCTAGATTAATCTCATTTTATTACTCAGTTTGGGCTTTCTTTTTCCTCTTTTCCTCTTCTTGTTTTTTTCCTCTCATATCTACTTTTTTCATAGTTGTTTTGTTGCTTAGTTGAAGAAAGTGTAAACTTACTTGGATAATAGTATCAAGCTTTCTTCTGAATGACAGTCATATATTTTCAATTGATTAAAATTTCAGACCAGGGCTGGGAAGGTGGCTCAGTGGTAGAGTGCTTGCCTTGCATGCCTGAGGCCCTGGGTTCGATTCCCCAGCACCACATAAGCAAAAAGAAAAAAAAGCTGGAAGTGGAGCTGTGGCTCAAGTGGTAGAGCGCTAGCCTTGAGCTGAAGAGCTGAGGGACAGTGCCCAGGCCCAGAGTTCAGGCCCCATGACCGGACCCATAAAAAAAAAAAAATTTTCAGACCATTTTTTCTTCATTAGATGTAACATCCTTTCTGTTTCTCAGAAAGTGTTCTAAAATTATAAGACTATACTTTCTCAGAAGGATGGAAATATTGTCTTAATTTTAAAATATTTTTTATTATAAACAAAATTGTCAGGTGGTGGCTCACACCTATGGTCCTAGCTACTCAGGAGGCAGAGATCTAAGTCATGGTTGGAAGCCAGCATAGGCAATAAAGTTGATGAGACTATTATCTCCAAATAACTACCAAAAAAAAGCCCTAAGTGGAGCTGTGGCTCAAGTGGTAGAGCACTAGCCTTGAGCAAAAAAGCTCAGAAACAGTGTGCCCAGGCCCTAAGTTTAAGTGTCAGGACAGGCGCAAACACGTGTGCGTGCACACACACACACACACAGGCACACATGCGCACCCAAAACAACCTCAAAACCGAAATGGAGCTTTTTAAAGCCTTATTGTGAGCATCATGGAAACACTTGATGATGTTAAAGTGACAAGGATGTACATGGATATTTTATCCATTGTGCCTTGCACTATTGAATTTTTTTTTTTTTTTTTTGCTGGTCATGGGCCTGAACTCTGGGCCTGGGCGCTGTCTCTCAGCTCTTCGCTAGTGCTCTACCACTTGAGCCACAGTGCCACTTCCAGCCTTTTCTGCTTATGTGGTGCTGAGGAATCGAACCCAGGGCCTCATGCATGCAAGGCAAGCTACCTTTCCAGCCCCTTGAATTATTATTATTATTATTAATTTTTTTGGTTGGTCGTGGGGCTTGAACTTGGGGCTTGGGCGCTGTCCCTCAGCTCTTCAGCTTAAGGCAAGCGCTCTACCACTTGAGCCACAGCGCCATTTCCGGTTTTCTAATGGTTTATTGGAGATAAGAGTCTCACAGACTTTCCTCGCCCAGGCTGGCTTTGAACCGTGATCCTCAGATCTCAGTCTCCTGAGAAGCTCAGATTACAGGAGTGAGCCACCTGTGCCAGGATCCAGTTCAGCATTTTGATGGTTAATTGGAAATGGAATCTTACAGAGTTTTCTGCCCAGTCTGATGTAGAATCTGGAGCCTCCAGGTGTCAGCCAGGATATCAGACTCTATACCATCACTATACCAGTGTGTGTGTGTGTGTGTGTGTGTGTGTGTGTGTGTGTGTGTGTGTGTGTGTGTGTGTGTGTGTGTGTGTGTGTGTGTGTAGGAGGATGTCCTGGGGCTTGAATTCAGTATCTGGATGCTGTCCCTGAGCTTTTTTGCACAAGGCTAGCTCTCTATCACTCGAGCTATGGATCTACTTTGACTTTTTGGTGGGTAATTGGAGTGTCATGGACTTCCCTTCCCTGACTGGCTTAGAATCAAACTCCTCAGATCTCTGCTTCCTGAGTAGTTTAAGATTATAGGTGAGCCATGGATGTCTGGCTTCCCTTCAGAGTTTGGGCGCCCAGCCTCCCTTAAAAAGTATTAAATGAGATACTGTATAAATCACTTGAGCGTAGTAGTTGTCGTTGAGCAAGCAAGTAGTTGGTGTTGAGCAAGCACTAGTTCCTTCCTGTTTGTTGATTTGTTTGTTGAACACATGTATACAAAGCTTTTTGTGTTTAAAAAAATCTTGATAAATAAAATAGCTTAAATGGAAATGTTGAAGTACTCCACAGAAGTTAGCGCTGGGTGCTGGCAGGGTGCTGATGGAGCTTTTCATGGTGGGTTTCTAACCTAGACTTGGGAGAAGGAGGGTTAAGGAAAATGTCTCGGAGGAAATGAATTCTAACAACTGGCCATAGGTGGAAGGATGGAAAAAGAGTGTGAAAAGAAGAACTTGTGCACAGTCCAGAGAGAGAAGAGGGACCTTCGTATGGGGCTTGTTATATAGGGGGCATGCTGTGGAAGTCCTAGAGCCTAGTCAGTGTTAGGACCAGGTGCTGTGGTGGGCAGCTGGGCACAGCTGAAAGGTTTTCTTCAGGGTGGTGATAACTGCCTGGACGGTTTTGGGAACATTTCTAAAAGTACTGTATTGACTAGGTGGTATAACTAAAAGGAAGCCCAGCTGTGGGAACTGATTCTTGGTTCTAGTTGCCAACTAGTTTCTTTTGTAGACTCTGGATTTCCATCTGATCAGCAATGAATGAAATACCTTGCACATAAAAAATGCTCAGTTAATAGCCTGAAGAATAGGATTGAGAGAGAAAATTGCAGTTTTCTTTTGTCATAAATATTTGTGTTCAAGTTTGATGTTAGTAAAACTAAGAATTTCATTTTAAAAAGGACAAGTGACATACTTGAACCTATTCAGAAAAATGGATTTAAGCCGGGCGCTGGTGGCTCACACCTGTAATCCTAGCTACTCAGGAAGCTGAGATCTGAGGATCACGGTTCAAAGCCAGCCCGGGCAGGAGAGACCGTGAGACTCCTATCTCCAATAAACCACCAGAAAACCGGAAGTGGCGCTGTGGCTCAAGTGGTAGAGCGCTCGCCTTGAGCTGAAGAGCTGAGGGACAGCGCCCAGGCCCAGAGTTCAAGCCCCACGGCCGACAAAAAAAAAAAAAAGAAAAAGAAAAATGGATTTATTTCAATGATAGACATTCTATAATATATATATATACACATATATGCATGTATACATATATGTGTGTATATCTATATCTATATCTACATCTATATATATTTCTTGCCAGGCATCGATGACTCATGCCTGTAATTCTAGCTGCTCAGAAGGCTGAGGTCTAAGGATCACGGTTCAAGGTCAGCCTGGGCAGAAAAGTCTTATTTCCATTAAACCACCAAAAAGCCTGAAGTAGAGCTGTGGCTCAAGTGGTGGTAGAGCACTAGTCTTGAGGAAAAAAAAAAAAAAAAGCTCAGGGACAGCACCTAGGTCCCAAGTTCAAGCCCCAGTACCAGCACAAAAAAACAACCAAAAACCCCAACAAAATAAAAATTGCTAGTAGTTAATACCATATCATTTTAGACTTTTTTTTTGGGGGGGGGAGGTCTGGTCGTGGGGACTGAACTCTGGGCCTGAGCGCTGTCCCTCAGCTCTTCAGCTCAAGGCTAGCGCTCTACCACTTGAGCCACAGCACCACTTCCAGCTTTTTTTTCTTTTTGCTTATGTGGTGCTGGGGAATTGAACCCAGGGCCGCAGGCATGCAAGGCAAGCGCTCTACTACTGAGCCAACTTCCCAGTCCCCCATTTTAGACCTTTTTTTTTTTTTGTCAGTTGTGGGGCCTGAACTCTGGGCCTGGGTGCTGTCCTTCAGCTCTTCAGCTCAAGGCAAGTGCTCTACACTTGAGCCATGGCACCACTTCCGGCTTTTTCTGCATATGTGGTGCCAAGGAATTGAACCTAGGGCCTCATGCATGCAAGGCGAGCACTCTACCACTGAGCCAGCCACCTTTCTAGCCCCTATTTTAGACTTTTAAGCTCAAAATTAAGGCTACATTTCTCTCCCTCTTCTTTTCTCCTTCTCTCCCTCCCCTCTTTCTGTTGGTCATGGGCCTTGAACTCAGCCTAGCACTTTACCAGTTTAAGCCACAACTCCACTTCTGGTTTTCTGGTGGTTAGTTGGAGATGAAGTCTTAAGAGACTTTTCTGTAGGGCTGACTTTGAACTGTGATCCTTAGCTCTCAGACTCCTGAGTAGCTAGGATTACAGGCATGAGCCATCAGCAACACCTAGCTCAGATTTTTTTTTCCCTCTAGTTCCTTAGAACTAGTGAGGAAAAATATGAGTACTTAGTAAACATGTAGAATTGGAGATCAGGAGGCCTGACTATAAACTGTAATGTATTTTGTTGTTGGTGGTGGTTGTGGGGCTTGAACTCTGGGCCTGGGCACTGTCCATGTCTTCAGCTCTCTTCAGCTCAAGGCAGATGCTCTACCACTTTGAGCCACATTGCCATTTCCATTTTTTTTTTTTTTTTTGGTGTTTAATTGGAGATAAGAGTCTCACAGACTTTCCTGCCTGGGCTGGCTTTGAACCAAGAGCCTCTTAGCCTCCTGAGTAGCTAGGATTACAGGTGTGAGCCATTGGCACCTGGCAACTGAAATGTATTTTTAAGGGACATAGAATAGAAGTTGTAACCAAATACTTTACTGAAAACTTTTAAATTAAAAAATGGTTGACATATTGGACTTATGATTCTAAATGTCTTGAAATAATTGCAAAGAATTGCAAAGTGTTAAATAATACTGTTTTTATATTTTGGGGATTTGTTTGAAAGTAACTTAAAAGAGCTAGAAAAAAAGTTCATAGATCCACTAGGCTAAGTAAATTACTTTTTTTATCTTGTGAAGCAAATGTATGCTTTTCCTTTCTTGCAGAGTTGAACAATGACCATAGTTGACAAAGCTGAATCTTCAGGCCCGCCAGCCTATCAGAACCAGCCTGGCAGTTCTGAGGCTGTCTCACCTGGAGACATGGATGCCGGCTCTGCCAGCTGGGGTGCTGTGTCTTCGTTAAATGATGTTCCAAACCACACACTTTCTTTAGGACCAGTACCTGGTGCTGTAGTTTATTCGAGTTCATCTGTACCTGACAAATCAAAACCATCACCACAGAAGGATCAAGGTACTACATGGGAAAGGAATGACTGCCAGACTTGGGTACCAGAATTTAATTCTACCTATTCAGGAGCTGAGATTGAGGCTGGCAATTCAAAGCAATAAACCACCAAAAAGTCAGAAGTGGGCGTGTGGCTCAAGTGGTAGTGCACTAGCCTTGAGCAAAAAAGCTAAAGGACAGTGCCCAGGCCCTACGTTCAAGTCCCAGGACCTGCACAGACAGAAATTCAAATAAAATTTTTGAAAATCCCTACCAGAAACCACTCTGTAAATGTTTTTAGGAAGTTGGTCATTTCAAAGAGGGACTTATTTTGCAAGAGATATTGCTTCCTGGGAGGTGGGAACTACTTAATAGTCTCATTTTTCCGCTAATGAATATTCATTCATTTTATTAGTATGTATCACAACAAGGCATATTATTCTTAGATACTAGGATGAGAAATTTCTGTTACCTACTCAGTTATATTTGAAGGAGAGGCTTTATCTTAGAGATAAATAGACCTTGTTCAATTAACCAGTAGTTGTTACAGTTCCTTAAACAACTATCTATCTTAAAATTTTAAGATTTTTTTTTTTTAGGTCGGTAGTGGGCCCTGAACTCTGGGCCTGGGTGCCATCCTTCAGCTCTTCAGCTCAAGGCTAGCGCTCTACCACTTGAGCCACAGTACTACTTCCTGCTTTTTCTGCTTATATGGTGCTGAGGAATCAAACCCAGGGCCTCATGCATGCAAGGCAAGCACTCTACCACTGAGCCACCTCCCCAGCCCCTTAAGATGTTTTTTTTATAGTGCTTATCTTTAGACAGATTCTACCTCACTTTTTTTAAGTGTAAACATTTAAAAAAAAAATTGGCTGTGCTGAGATTTGAACTCAGAGCCTCATGGTAGACACTTTACCACTTGAACTGTCCTACTCCCTCCTTTTTTTTCCCCATCAAAATGTTCTGTCACTCCTGTAATTCTAGCCACTCAGGAGGTTGAGCCACTCAGTTCAAATCAGAACACGCAAGAAAGTCCATTCTCATCTCCAACTAACCATGAAAAAGCCAGAAGAGGAACTTTGGTTCAAGTAGTAAAGGGCTAGCCTTGAGCTCAGGGATAGTGTCCAGGCCCTGAGTTCAAGCTTTAGGAACAGCTCAAAAAAAAAAAAAATCATATAAAGTAATAAGACTGAAAGAGGGCAGATAATATAAATGCTGCATTTGCTAAAATAAGGTTAATGTGGTTGTATTTGTTAAAATTTATACAGGTAAACAAGACATTGCTACTTATAAGACTTTTGGATTTGATTACTTGAAGATATTTGAAATGTAAAGGGGATGTTGTTAGGCTTAGAACTGTTTGACCCCTAGGCTATTTTGAGTTCTTTTAGTTTGGTTATGAGCTACAAGAATGAGTGCTTCAGTTTGTTAGAAAAAAGTTTGAGTCACCTAATGCAGTTCACTTAGGAGAGTGTTACCCATAGAAGTTTAAGGTCCTTTTGACTTTCTCATCAGGAAGATTTCCCCACAGGACATTTTTCTCCTGTCGTATTGCAGAACTCTTTTACTCTCCCTGAGGACTCCCTGCATCCCTGTTTCGTATTTTTTTTCTCTACAGACTCATTGCTCTTTTTCTATCTTTGTCCCCCATTTCCCATTGAGGTGAAACCTGCTTTTGCTTCACTAATTCCTATAAGTAATCACTGACCTGTCTTTTAAGTATATAAATGTAATTATAAGGAAATATTATGTGGCCACCAGGCAACTTTGACATTTATTAACTCATGGTCAAATGTATGTGAGCGCAGACACACACATAAGTGCATGTACACATACACACCCATTTAGTTTTTTTATTTTCCTTGGTACTGGGGTTTGAATTCAGCCTCTCACTTGGTAGACAGGTGCACTGCCATTTGAACCACACTGTACCTGGTCTTCCCCAATATTTTAAAGCAATTCCAGTATTTCATATCTTATCTACTTTTAATATTTTAGTATGAATCTAGAGAATTCTTTTCTAAAAATTAAAATATCTTTATATTAAAAATCCAGTGAAGCCTGGGCTGTGAAGTCTGTAAGACTCTTAATATACAATTATTCACAGAAAAAGCCATAAATGGAGCTGTGGCTTAAGTGGTAGAACAATAGCCTTGAATGGAAAAGCTCAGAGATAGCGCCCAGGCCCCGAGTTTAAGCCTCATGACTGACCAAAAAAAAAAAAAAAAAATGAAGTGGCGCTGTGGCTTAAGTGGTAGAGCACTAGCCTTGAGCTGAAGAGCTAGGGACAGCACCCAGGTCCAGAGTTCAAGCTCTATAATGGACCGCGCCTCCCCCCCCCCCAAAAAAAAAAAAACAAAAAAAAACAAACATCCAGTCAACATTCAAATTTCCCTGTTTGCTCTGCTTTTTTTTTTTTTTTTTAATGGTTGGTTGTTGAAAGCAGCATCTAATTAAGCTATACTTTGTATCTGCTGGCTATCTCTCTCAAGATTACTTTAAATTGTAGCCTTCCCCTTTTTCATCAGTTTATTGAGGAAACCAAAGTATAGAGTTTCTCACATTTAAAATTTTATCTTTTAAGACATCCCTTTCTCCCTGTATTTGTAGCAAACTGGTAATGAGATTTAGAATCTTGGTCAGATTCAGCTTTGATGAATAGCTTTGATATTTATTTCACTTCATGTGCTTGCAAATCTTTTGTTTTTAAATCTTTGCTCTTTATTTTTTAGTCCTAGGTGATGGCATTGCTCCTCCACAGAAAGTTCTGTTCCCATCTGAGAAGATTTGTCTTAAGTGGCAACAAACTCATAGGGTTGGCGCTGGGCTCCAGAATTTGGGTAACACTTGTTTTGCCAATGCAGCATTGCAGTGTTTAACCTACACGCCGCCCCTCGCCAATTACATGTTATCACATGAGCACTCCAAGACATGTAAGTGTTCCATGCTTGTTCCATGTTTGTAGTATCGTGTTTTTATTTGTTTTTCAAGATCACTAAGAAGTTTTTTTGTTTTTTGTTTTTTTTAAAGAAACTGAGGAGTACTCTTAGGATTTATTTTCAAGTTGCATAAGAAACACTTTGCACCAACACCTAATGCCTATTAACCTAATGCCTATTTTATCATCATTTGGCACTTCAGAGCCCCCTCCCTGCTAGTGTGAAAGACATTAGTAAATGCTCCATAATGTCTAGTGTGAACAGCTTGGGACCAGTAGAGTTAAAAACTACTATCTCTTTATTTATCTTGTGTTGGAAGTCTGGATTTATTTTCAGGCCGAGAGGATAGTCATCTCTTATCACTGCTCCCATCCTCCTGCAATTCACATACTCTGTTTTAAACCCACTGAATAGAAAGTCTTTTTTTTTTTTTTTGGGTCCAGTCGTGGGGCGTGAACTCTGGGCCTGGGCGCTGTCCCTCAGCTCTTCAGCTCAAGGCTAGCGCTCTACCACTCGAGCCACAGCGCCACTTCCAGCTTTTTTTCTTTTTTGCTTATGTGGTGCTTAGGAATCGAACCCAGGGCCTCATGCATGCAAGACAAGTGCTGTACCGCTGAGCCACCTTCCCAGCCCTAGAACGTCTTTTCTTCTTCTTCTTCTTTTTTTTTTTTTTGGGTCCGGTCGTGGGGCCTGAACTCTGGGCCTGGGCAATGTCCCTCAGCTCTTCAGCTCAAGGCTAGCGCTCTACCACTTGAGCCACAGCTCCACTTCCAGCTTTTTTTCTTTTGCTTATGTGGTGCTGAGGAATGGAACCCAGGGCCTCATGCATGCAAGGCAAGCGCTCTACCACTGAGCTACCTTCCCAGCCCCTAGTAGAAAGTCTTTTACAACATACTAATATTTCTTTAGGTGGAAGCCAACTTCTTGCTGAGTAGTTCAATTCAGATTCATACATCTGTATGTTTGGGTTTTTTTGTACTGGTCCTGGAGTTTGAACTCAGGGCCTGGATGCTGTCCCTGAGCATTTTTGCTCAAGGCACTATAGTGCTCTCCTACTTGAGCCACAGTTCTACTTTCAGCTTTTTGCTGGTTAATTGAAGACAAGAAGCTCAGACTTTCCTGCCCAGGGTGGCTTTGAACTGCATCTGGGTCTTTTTTTTTTTTTGTCAGTTGTGGGGCTTGAACTCTGGGCCTGGGCGCTGTCCCTCAGCTCTTCAGCTCAAGACTAGCACTCTACCACTTGAGTCACAGTGCCACTTCCGGTTTTCTAATGGTTTATTGCAGATAAGAGTCTTATGGACTTTCCTGCCCAGGCTGGCTTTGAACCGCTATCCTCAGATCTAAGCCTCCTGAGTAGTTAGGATTACAGGCGTGAGCCACTGGTGCCTGGTTGGTATCACCCTTTCAAAGCGCTTCCCTCACCCCTTCTTTTCTCTACCCTAGTCAACTACTGATAGGCTGCTTCTGTGAGTAGAGATAAGTTTGAATTGTCAAAAATATGGCCTGTGTGGAAATGTGTGTGTGTGTGTGTGTGTGTGTGTGTTTGATTTTTTGTTTGATTTTTTTTTTTTTTTTTTGGTGCTGGTCCTGGGGCTTGGACTCAGCCTGGGTACTACTATCCATTAGCTTTTGTGAGCAAGGCTAGCATACTACCACTTGAGTCACAGCTCCACTTTTGGCTTTTTTCGGTGCTTAATTGGAGATGATGTGGCATGAGCCACAGGCATTGGGCTTATATACTATATTGCTTTACTCTGCATAACTATTTCACCATTCTGTTTGTCACATGTATCAGTGCTTCATTTTATTGCTGAGTAGTATTCTGTTGTCTGAATTATATACCATAGTTTGTTTTCTATTAACCATTGATAACATTTGTATTATTTCCCTGTTGGGGTCACCATAAATTAAACTTCCACAAACATTTGCAAACACGTTTTGGTCAGCACCTATTTTCATTTCTCTAGGGTACATAATTAGATTACCCAAGGTGATGGTAAGGAGTTCCACTTACACCCTGTAGTGAATGCAAGTTCTGTTTGTTCTATATATGTTCTCATACATGGTGTGGACAGTCTTTTTAATTTTAGCCATTTTAATGGATATGTAGCAAAGTAGTATCTTATTTTGGTTTGAATTTATGTCGAATATCTTTCTTTCTTTTTTATTTTGTCAGTTGTGGGGCCTGAACTCTGGGCCTGGGCGCTGTCCCCCAGCTCTTCAGCTGTAGACCAGCACTCTACCACCTGAGCCTCAGGCCCACTTCTGGCTTTTTCTGCTTATGTGGTACAGCCCCAGGACTGTACATTTAAGACAGCTTGGTGGGCTAGGAAGGTGGCTCAGTGGTAGAGCGCTTGCCTTGCATGCATGAGGCCCAGGGTTCGAGTCTTCAGCATCACATAAGCAGAAAAAGCCAGAAGTGGCACCGTGGCTCAAGTGGTAGAGCGCTAGCCTTGAGCTGAAATGCTGAGGGACAGCGCCCAGGTCCAGAGTTCAGGCCCACGACCGGACCCCCCCCCAAAAAAAAAAAAAAAAAAGTACAGTCCTCCTGTTTTAGATTCTGATGTGGTAGGATTATAAGTGTGTGCCACTAGGTACACCTAGCTCTCTGTCTTTTGAAGAATTCATTTTATTTTGAGAGTTGGTTATGTTTTCCTTTTATCAATTGTATGTAATTGTTATATTAAGAAATCTTTGGGCTGCAAAGGTGGCTCAGTGGTAGAGTGCTTGCCTCGTATGCATGAATCCTTGTGTTCAATTCATCAGCACTACATACACAGAAAAAACCAGAAGTGGACACTATGGCTCAAGTGGTAGAGTGCTCGCCTTGAGCTGACGAGCTCAGGGACAGTGCCCAGGCCTAGAGTTCAAGCTCCATAACTGACCCAAAAAACAAAACAAAACAAAACAAAACAGCCAGGCACCAGTGGCTCATGTCTGTAATCTTAGCTACTCAGGAGGCTGAGATCTGAGATCTCCGTTCAAAGCCAGCCCAGGCAGGAAAGTCCACTAGAAAACCAGAAGTGGCTCTGTGGCTCAAGTGGTAGAGTGCTTGCCTTGAGCTGAAGAGCACAGGGACAGCACCCAAGCCCAGAGTTCCAGCCCAAGTCTGGCAATAATAATAATATGAAGAAATCTTTTTTTTTTTTTTTTTTGTTCCGGTTTTGAGGCTTGAACTCTGGGCCTGAGCACTGTCCCTCAGCTCTTCAGCTCAAGGCTAGTGCCTTACCACTTGAGCCACAGCGCCACTTCCGACTTTTTTCTTTTTGCTTATGTGGTGCTGAGGAATTGAACCCAGGGCCTCAGGCATGTAAGGCAAAGCACTCTACCACTGAGCCACCTTCCCAGCCCCAAAGAAATCTTTACTTAATCAGAAGTCACCCGAGATTTTTTTCCCAATATTTTCTTGTAGAAGTTTTATAATTTTGGCTTTTTACATTTGGGTTTTTGGGTCAGTGATCTGTTTGTGATTTGAAGAATGAAAATATGTATTTGATAGTGCTGGAAATGTAACTTGCCTATAGGCAGGCCGTAAATGGACATCAGTTGTTCCAGTACTATTTGTGAAAGAAAAATCCTTTCTCCACTGAATTGTGAAAAGGCATTTGTGCATATGGATGTGGATCTATTTGATCTCTATCTGCAATACTGATCCTTTGTTTATCTTGCCACCATAACACAAGGTCTTGATTACTGTATACACTTAAGTTTTGAAGTTAGGTAAGTCCTCCAACTATATTTTTCTTTTCTCTTCTTTTTTTTGTCAGTTGTTGGGGTTTGAACTCTGGGCCAGTGTGCTGTCCCTGAGTTCTTCAGCTCAAGGCGAGAGCTCTATTTGAGCCACAGCACTACTTCTGGTTTTCTGGTGGTTAATTGGAGATAAGAGTCTCACAGGCTTGTCTGCCTGGGCTGGCTTTGAACCACAATCCTCAGATGTCAGCCTACTGAGTAGCTAGGATTACAGATATGAGCCACCAGTTCTCAGCTCTTTTTAGCTTTAACTTTTTATTTGGGAGTATAGATTCTCATGAGTTGTAAGAAATAATTCAGAAAGATTTCATGTACCCTTATTTTCTTTCTCTTCAGCATTAGAACCAGGATAATGAAGAGCATTCCAATTCTTCCAGACCAATCACATTGCCCTCCCTCTCCCAGTCCATACTGTTCTTTCTTTCTTTTTTTGGGGGGGGTTGGGGAATACGGTCGTGGGGCCTGAACTCTGGGCCTGGGCACTGTCCCTCAGCTCTTCAGCTCAAGGCTAGCGCTCTACACCTGAGCCACAGTGCCACTTCCGGCTTTTTTCTTTTTGCTTATGTGGTGCTGAGGAATTGAACCCAGGGCCTCATGCATGCAAGGTAAGCGCTCTACCACTGAGCCACCTTCCCAGCCCCCATACTGTTCTTTCTTGTGCCCACCTCCTCTAAGACCACCTAGTAACCACTGACCTATTCTGTGTTCCTGTAAATTTGTCATTTCAGGAATATTTTATCTATATTGAATTACACAGTAATAGAGTCTTTTAAAATGAGCATTTTTACTCAGTTTAATTCCCTGGCAATTCGTCCATAGTTCTCTGGCTGTTCATCCCAGTTGTTGGGTGTATTAGCAATTCTTTCATTGCTAAGTAGTATTTCTTGGTGTGGTTATAACAGTTTGTTTAACCACTTAATTCTATTAAAAAAACTGTTGTTTCCAGTTTGGGGATATTATGAATAGAGATAATATAAGCATTTTGTGGGAATATAAGTCTTCATTTCTCTGGGATGAATGTGTAGGAATGCAGTTGTTGGGTTATATAGTAATTGTGAGTTTTGTTTTATATGAAATTGCCAGAACGATTTTCCATATTGACTGTACTGTTTCACGTCTTTGTCAGCAACATCTGACAGTTTTAGTTCTCCATTTTTACCAGCATTTGGTGTTGTCAAGTATTTTTCATTTTATCTGTACTGATACATTTTATAATTAACTTATTTACTGGCTGTAAATCTTTGAAGAGATGTCATTTTGTATCTTTTTGCTTATTTTTGCTAGTATATCTTTATTTTTGTATTGCCAAGTTTTGAGAGTGCTTTTTATACTTTATATATTCTTGAGAGGCCTGATATACCTATTCTAATGCCTGGCCTTTGTTGGACATAGGGATTCCACAGATTTTTCTCTCATATTGTAGCTTCTGTTTTTATCCCTTTAAATTAGTTTTTGGATTTTTTTTTTTTTGCCAGTACTGATGTTTGAATTCAGGGTTTGGGTGCTGTCCCTGAGCTTTTTGTATAAGGCTATCGCACTAAACCATTTGAGCCACAACTCCACTTCTGGCTTTTTGGTGATTAATTGGAGATAAGAGTCTCATGGATTTTCCTGTCCAGGCTGGCTTCAAACTGTGATCCTTAGATCTCAGCCTCCTGCATGTAGTTAGGATTACAGATGTAAGCCACTGGCATCTGGCAGGATTGGTTCTTTCTTTCTTTCCTCTGAGATTAGGACTGGAACTTGGTATCAGATGTTTGCTTTCTCCCATTGGCTGGTACTCTATGACTGGAGCGCTGCCTCCACCACAGCATTGGTTATTTCTTTTCTTTTTCTTACTTTAAAATATAAAAGTAGGTTTGAACTAAGGACCTCATGCTCGCTAAGCAAGTATTTTGCCATGTGAGCTACTCTCCTAGGCCTGTTGTTTGTTTATTTAGGTGGTAGTGTGGTTTGAAGTCAGGGCTGCACACTTGGTAGACAAGTGGTCGATGGTCCAGTCATACCACTAACCCTTTTTTGCACTGGCTCTTTATTTTTGTAGTATTGGGGCCTTATGCTTGGTAAGCAGGCATTCTGCCACTTGAACCACTTCATCAGTCCCTTTTTTATGTTGAGTATTTTTGAGATAGGGTCTTGCCTTCTACTCAGATCAGTTTGGACTGCTATCCTCCTATTTATGCTTCCCTTTGTCACTGGGATGACAGTGTGTGCCACCATGCCTGTGCTACAGCTTGGGATGACTAGCATGTGTAGAATCTAACCACCTATAGCTATTTGTTATGCCAAAGGTGGTTGTGGGATTTTTGTTTTGTTTTGTTTTGGTAATACTAAGATTTGAAGTCAGGGCCTCATTCTCTTCTTTGGCTTGTCTACTTCCTCTGCTAATGCTGTACCATTTGAACTGTGCCTCTGTATTTTTCTGGTTATTTTGAAGATAGAGTCTCATGGACTTTTCTGCCTTGATTGGTTTGGAATTGCAGTCTTTCATTTTCTGCCTCCTAGGTAGCTAGGATTGCAGGCATAAACTACTGGTGTCTGGCTTGCTAATATTTAAGAGTTTTTACATCTAAAGTAATGAGAGACTAGTCTGTAAATTTTTTTTTTTTTTTTTTTTGCTGGTTGTGGGGCTTGAACTCTGGATCTGGGCGCTGTCCCTTAGCTCTTCAGGGCAAGGCTAGCAATCTACCATAGTGCACTTCCGGTTTTCTGGTGGTTAATTGGAGATAAGAGTCTCATGGACTTTTTTGGGGGGTCTGGTCCTGGGGCCTGAACTCTGGGCCTGGGCGCTGTCCCTCAGCTCTTCAGCTCAAGGCTAGTGCTCTACCACTTGAGCCACAGCACCACTTCCGGCTTTTTTCTTTTTGCTTATGTGGTGCTGAGGAATCGAACCCAGGGCCTCATGCATGCGGGGCAAGCGCTCTACCACTGAGCCACTTTCCCAGCCCTCATGGACTTTCGTTGTCCGGGCTGGCTTTGAACCATGATCCTCAGATCTCAGCCTCCTGAATAGCTAGGATTACAGGCGTGAGCAGCCGGTGTCCGGCTGTAATTTTTTGTATTATCCTTGCCTGCTTTTGGTGTCATGATAATATATAAGTATATAAAATGAATTTAGGATGTGCTTTAGAAAAGATTTGTAAATTTTATATTCTCTTTTATATATTTACTTACCAGTGGAACCAGAAATAGCCATTTTAGGATTTTTTTTTTTTTTTTTTGGGTCCGGTCGTGGGGCCTGAACTCTGGGCCTGGGCGCTGTCCCTCAGCTCTTCAGCTCAAGGCTAGCACTCTACCACTTGAGCCACAGCGCCACTTCTGGCTTTTTTTTCTTTTTGCTTATGTGGTGCTGAGGAATCGAACCCAGGGCCTCATGCATGCAAGGCAAGTGCTTTACCACTGAGCCACCTTCCCAGCCACCATTTTAGGATTTTTAAGAATCTTTTTAAAATTTTTTTTCAACTTTGCCAGTCCTGGGGCTTGTGAACTCAGGGCTTGGGTATTGTTCCTGAGCTTCTTTTGCTCAAGGTTAGCACTCTACCATTTGAGCCACAGCACCACTTCTGGCTTTTTCTATGTATGTGGTACTAAGGAATCGAACTCAGGGCTTCATACATGCTAGGCAAGCACTTTATCATTGAGCCATCTTCTCAGCCCTTAAAAATCTTTTGTTTCATTTCATTCCGTGTGTGTGTGTGTGTGTGTGTGTGTGTGTGTGTGTGTGTGTGTGTGTGTGTGTGTGTGTGTGTGTTGGTGCTGGGGCTTAAACTCAGGGCCTAAGCTCTATCTCTTAGTTTTTCACTCAAGGCTAGCCCTCTACCACTTCCACATACTTCCAGCCATATTAAGTTTTTGAGGTTTGTTTTACAGCTCAGGATTTGGTCTGTCTTGTATATGATTTGAGTCCTGTTGTGTCTGCCCCATAATAAATATTTGACTGTGGCCGAATTTTTAACTCTGGACCTTTTCTCCTGTCCTGTAGACTAGAGCCAGTATATACTTATTACTTAGGCTTGGTATATAATTAAATGAAAATTAATAAAAGCAGATTTTGCTGTATTTATCATATACCTGAGCATATGTGAATTCAAATTGAGCTGATTTGGAGGGTTATAATCTGTCTTTCAGGTCATGCAGAAGGCTTTTGTATGATGTGCACAATGCAAGCACATATTACCCAGGCGCTCAGTAATCCTGGTGATGTTATAAAACCCATGTTTGTCATCAACGAGATGCGCCGTAAGTATTGATAGAGTGGTTTATATCAGTATTTCTTACCTCAGTTTTTCTTTTTGTTTGTTTGTTTGTTTAGCTAGTTCTCACTGTATTTCCCAGGCTAACATCAAACTCCTGGGCTCAAGGGATCCTCCTGTCTCTACCTCTCCTAGATAGCTGGTATTGCAGGTGGGCAACAGTTCCCCTAGCTCTTATTTAGATCATTGGTACTGATCATCTGTGTAATGAGAATGAAGCTCCTAAGCCAGGCCAAGTGGCAGAGGCAGGAGGTTCTTGAGTTTGAGGTCAGCACATTGGTGCACAGTTAGTAAAACTCTATTTCAGAAACAAAATATAAGTGAAGAGTAAGTGGTACGTGCTTACTTCATAGTATGGGTGAGGTCCTAGATTCAGTCCTCAGTATTGGGGGAAGAAAAATCAGTCCTAATGTATTGTAAAACAAAAAAAAATTTTTAGGCTGGGAATGTGGCTTAGTGGTAGAGTGCTTGCTTAGGATTCGTGAAGCCCTGACTTTGATTCCTCAGTACCATATGAACAGAAAAAGCCGGAAGTGGTGCTGTGGCTCAAGTGGTAGAGTGCTAGTCTTGAGCAAAAGAAGCTCAGGGACAGCATCCAGGTCCTGAGTTCAAGCCCCAGAACTGGCATTAAAAAAAAACATCAGAACAACAAAAAACTACTCAAGCCAGATGCCAGTGGCTCACGCCTATAATCCTAGCTATTCAGGAGGCTGAGATCTGAAGATCGTGGTTCAAAGCCAACCTAGGCAAGAAAGTCTGTGAGATTCTTTATTTCCAGTTAACCATGAGAAAACCAAAAGTGGCGCTGTGGCTCAAATGGTAGAGCACTCACCTTGAGCTGAAGAGCTGAGGGACAATGCCGAGGCCCAGAGTTTAAGCCCCACAACCGACAAACAAACAAACAAAAAAAACTATTCAATTTGTTAATTATTGAATGTTTTTACATTTTTTTTTCCAGATAGGAGGTTTTCTGTGCTAAGTAGTGCTATGATACTGTCCCACAGTTTCTTTCAACTAGTTTTAGTTTGATAAATGAATACTGCATTATACAAATGGCAGGAATTTTCAAAGAAAAATTTATGAGCTGGAGGTGTGGCACAAGTGGTACAGTGCTTGGCTGGCATGTGTGAGTCCCTAAATTCAATCCCCAGTACCACACAAAAAAAGAAAATTGTCTATTAATAGTTAACAACTTTATGGGTAAGCTATATTTTTTTCAGCATAATTTTTTTTCATTTGAGAAATGACATGAGCTTGTTGTATGCACTTTCTATGGACTTTGGTGAATTTTTATACCTCTTGTTGGTGTGTTTGTGTCCTGGTATGGCTTTTCTGCTCAAGAATGGTGCTCTACTACTTGAGCTCTGCCTCCAGTACAGCTATTTTTCCTGGTTAATTGAGATAGAATCTCTCTTGGATTTTTCTTCAAGGGCTGACTTCGAACTACGGTCTTCAGATCTCAGCCTCCTGAACAGCTAGGATTACAGGTGTGAGCCACTGCCACCACTCTATATCACTTTTTAATTAACCAAGTTGTAGTGAAAATGCATACGATTTTTAAAAAACTTATTAACACTTTTTTTTTTTTTCTGTGCTGGGGATTGAATCCAGGACCTTTCATGCATACTAATACTCTGCTCCTGAGCTGTTCCCAGCTTGATTTCCAGCTTGTGGTTTTTTGAACTAGCTTTGCTATGTGGCTCAAGATGGCTTGAGACTCATGGTCCTCCTGCCTCTACTTCCATAGTACTGGGATCACAGGTGTGGTCCACCACATCCTGTTAACTCAAGTGTGTGTGTGTGTGTGTGTGTGTGTGTGTGTGCTCGAGTGCGTACACACATGCACGTGTGTACGTGCGTGCATGCATGCACACATGCATGTGCATACCAGTACTTGGGCTTCAGCTCGAGATTTTTTTTTTTTGGTCGGTCATGGGGCTTGAACTCTGGGCTTGGGCTCTGTCCCTCAGCTCTTCAGCTCAAGGCGAGCGCTCTACCACTTGAGCTACAGCGCCACTTCTGGTTTTCTGGTGGTTTATTGGAGATATGAGTCTCACGGTCTCTCCTGCCTGGGCTGGCTTTGAACCGCTATCCTCAGATCTCAGCCTCCTGAGTAGCTAGGATTACAGGCGTGAGCCACCAGCGCCTGGCTTCAGCTCCGGATTTTATGCTCAGGATTTGCTTTTTTTCACTCAAGAATGGTGCTCTGTCACTTAAGCCACACCCCTATGGTTGGCTTTTTGCTGATTAATTGGAGTCTCTTGGATTTGGCTGGTCAGTTTGTTTTGAACTGTTTTCACTGATTTTGCTGGCATTAAATCAGTATCCTAATTTCTTGGCTGTCTAAGTAATTAGTATTACAGGTGTGAGCCACAAAGGCATAGCCTGTTAACTCTTAATTGGGTATCTAAGCTGAGTAATTAATTATTATAAGGGTTCATAATTACACCATAACAAACTATAAACCATTTGCCTAAAAAGCTGCTAACGATTAAATAACCCTTTTTTTTTTACAGTTTATTAATCCCTTCATGAAAAATAAGTTAACCTTTATATTATTGACAGCCCAGAATAGACTATGCCAAAATCTTTTTTTTAAATTTTTATTTATTTTTTTACTGTGAAAATATTGTACAGAGAGGTTACAATTACATGGGCAAGACAATGAGTACATTTCTTATCAAGCATTGTAGCCTCCTCCTTTGTTTCCCCTTCCCATATGCCAAAATCTTTAAGACATTATTAGACCCTTGCAAAATTTTAACCAGGGTATGTTCTGATTATTTATTGTGCTGGCCCTGGGGCTTGAACTCAGGGCCTGGGCACTATCCCTGAGCTTTTTTGCTCAAGGGTGTGCTCTACCACTTGAACTACAACTCCACTTTTGGCTTTTTGCTGTGTAATTATAAGTTGAGTCTCATAGACTTACCTGTCTGCACTTAGCCATTTATATACATGTGTGTGTATGTGTGTGTGTGTGTGTGTGTGTGTGTGTGTGTGTGTACATATGTATATATATGCCATAATAGTATTTTCAAATCTAGTCTTAAGAAACTGTTAGTTCCTATATATGTTAAGTGTACATTTCTCTACAAACACACATACATGATTGAATCTTTTTTTTTTTTTTTTTCGGTGCCGGTCTTGAGGCTTGAATTCAGGGCCTGGGCACTGTCCCTGAGCTTTTGTGCTCAAGGCTAGTGCTGCCACTTTGAGCCACGGCACCATTTCTGGCTTTTTCATGGTTAACTGGAGGTAAGAGTCTCACAAACTTTCTTGCTAGGGCTGGCTTCAAACCTGGATTTTCAGATCTCAGCCTTCTGTGTAGCTAGGATTACAGGCATGAGCCACTGATGTCCAGCGTATTGCCATTTTTATAGGTCAGAATTAGTGGAATATTGGTAATCTCATGTTACAAGCTAGTTTTTTTGTGAATATGTGTGCATTTGCATAGAAATCTGTGTATCCATATATATTGTATTTTTACTTATTAAATAATTTGGTCTTATAGCTGTTTAGTTAATTATATGTCAGATTGAAATGGTACTATGTAATTGAGAATATAACTTGTCAGTTATTGGGGTGGTATTGAGGCAGGCTGGGTATTTATTTTGCATGGTTAGAGACCCAGCATATATTTGGAATGTGTACACTCACATTTGGATATACTTTGAAGGCAGCACATATGTTAATTTTGGGTTGAGTGTAATTTTATTAGGTTGATAAAGATGCAAGAACTGCTTTGTGCTACTCTTTGGAGTCCTTATGGGTTCTTCTTGAAGTCACATGGTCCTGGCTGCTGTCAATGCAGCTTTGTGTGTGTTGTTTTCTTATTAAATGTTCAGGGGTTTTCTCTTCTTTTTCTTTTGTGTGTGTGTGTGTGTGTGTGTGTGTGTGGTGGTCCTGGGGCTTTTCTCTTCTTTTTCTTTCGTGTGTGTGTGTGTGTGTGTGTGTGTGTGTGTGTGTGTGTGTGTGTGTGTGTGTGTGTGTGTGTGTGTGTGTGTGTGTGTGTGTGTGTGTGTGTGTGTGTGTGTGTGTGTGTGTGTGTGTGTGGTGGTCCTGGGGCTTGAACTCAGGCCCTTCGGCATTGTCCCTGAGTTTTTTTGCTCAAAGTTAGTACTTTACTACTTCAGCTTTTGTAGTGCTTAATTGGAGATTATGAAGTAGTATCATGGACTTTCCTGGCTTCAAAACACAATCTGCAGATCTCAGCCTCCCGAGTAGCTAGGATTATAGGCTTCAGCCACTGATGCGAGCTTTTTCAGGGATTTTCTAACCAACTCTGTAGTGTGTGTGTGTGTGTGTGTGTGTGTGTGTGTGTGTGTGTGTGTGTGTGTGTGTGTGTGTGTGTGTGTGTGTGTGTGTTGTGGGGCTGAACTCTGGGCATGGGCGCTGTCCCTCAGCTCTTCAGCTCAAGGCTAGAGCTCTACCACTTGAGCCACAGTGCTGTTTCTGGCTTTTTCTGTGATTTAATTGGAGATAAGAATCTCATAGACTTTCCTGACTGCCTGGGCTGGCTTCAAACCTTGGTCCTCAGATCTCAGCCTCCTGAGTAGCTAGGATTACAGGCATGAGCCACTAGTGAGTTGGGTTGGGTGTGTGTGTATGTATATATATATATATATACATACATACATATATATATGTGAATGTATATGTATGTATGTATATATACGTACGTATACATATGTATATATGCGTGTATGTATATATATGTGTGTATATGTGTGTGTATACACACACACACACACCATTCAGGGAATAGTCTGGGTATATAATGTGTAATGATAAATCCTTGTTTTTACCTAAATTTTATAGGTATAGCTAGGCACTTCCGTTTTGGAAACCAAGAAGATGCCCATGAGTTCCTTCAGTATACTGTCGATGCTATGCAAAAGGCATGCTTGAATGGCAGCAATAAGTAAGTACAATAGGTAGACATTTCTTCATTTTGCATCGGGGCTGTTTTGCTTTTTGTGGGGGCCAGTGCCAGAGTTTGAACTCAGGAACTTGCACTTGCTAGGTTGAGCTCTACACTTGTGCCACACCCTCACCCAGTTTCACCTTTTATGTTGAATGTATACTAATCTGTTTGTTTACCTTTTGGCTTTGCCCCATATCTTCCCCAGCTGATTTTCATTATTTTACAATGAGTAAAGTTTAAAGAGATGTACTTATTGTAGCAGTTTGAATTTGTTCAGTTACAGTGTTAGGAAATAAATATTGGTTTTGTTGTTTAATCTCTGGTATCTGCATACCTTGGCAGATTTAAAACTAGCTGCTTCTATTTTCTAGTTGTGACTGATATTTTCTGTGTTGATTTCTGGCCTCAAATGTTTGTCCCCTCATATTCTGCCCTATGTTACCAGTTCCTAAAATAGCTTCTTCCTAAAACCTAAATACAAACTCAAGAGAAAGACTATGGAGATAATTGGATAATTAGCCCTAAAACACTTGAGGTAGCCTTCTTTACCTGGTATGTTTCTCCTTGCACTCTAGTTCACCTGGTCCAGGTCTTTGTGGTCTGTCTGTGATGTGAGGCTTAAAATAGGGGAAAGCATTCTGCCTGGCTCCTGCACAGGATCACAGTCCTGCTGAGGCATCTGCCTCTTGCTTCTTTGCTTCAAGGCCAAATCCCTGCCTTCATAGTATCATTCCTTCTATCCTCCTCACAAACCCTCACCGGGTTCTGTCAGGCAGCACTGGCCTCTGGTTTTCATATACCCAATTTTGTGGTTCTCTGAATTCTTGTTATTTAATGTGAATATACATGCTTTTATAATTGCAACTGTAAATTTTACATCACTGTTTGATTGTTTTTCAGATTAGACAGACATACCCAGGCCACTACACTTGTTTGTCAGATATTTGGAGGATATTTAAGATCTAGAGGTAAGCTTTTGTTTCATAAACTGGTACATGCATGTGACTTTAAAAATTGATCAAGATGCACTGTCCTCATAAGCTGACATGTTGAGTTGAAACCCCTTTATACAACTACTTGAAGATAATAAAAACAAAAATACATAAAAATGCAAATAGTAGGAAGGTGCTAATAATGAAAAGTAGATTTCTGGGTCATCTTGGATTCCTGTCCTCCTCCCCTATAACTGGTATACCCATCTAGTAGTTTCTTAAGCAGAGCAACCTGGGGTCCTATTTCGTGTAGTACTTCCACTTTTCTCTCAGTGTCTGCAGCAGTAAAAGGTCTGGGCTGGTTTCAAATTGCGATCCTCAGATCTCAACTTCTTGAATAGGATTATAGGCATGAGTCACCCCAGTGCCTGGCCATGGTGTGTATTTTAATTTCAATACTATTCTGTAGTTATTCAAGAGCTTATTCCAATTTGTATTCCAACTAGTGGATGTAGGCCCAGTTTACACTTTCATTCACATTGTGAATGAGATTTATCTAATTTTTTTCTCAACCTAATAAAAGAAAAATGGTGCTCATTTTTTATTTTGAAATAGTATTTATATTGTCATTTATGTAGTGGTACTGGTGTAATTACACTTTACTTATTGTTTGCATTTCACTTTTTATTTCAGTCAAATGTTTAAACTGCAAAGGTGTTTCAGATACTTTTGATCCATATCTTGATATAACATTGGAAATCAAGGTAAATAACTTGATAGTAAAATAAGGTAATAACTTGTGGGGACTAAGTTTAAGATCTTGTTATTACTTTTAGACTTTTCATTAATAAGTCTTTTTTGTTTTTTGGTGTTATTGGGATTTGACCCTGGCCTTCTCCTTAATCAGTTAATTTTAATAAAACCAGATTTTTTTTCTTCTTCTTCTTTTTTTTTGATCAGTTGTGGAAATTGAACTCAGGGCCTGGGTGCTGTCCCTGAGATTTTTGCTCAAAGGTAGCACTCTACCACTTTAAGCCACAGCTCTACTTCTAGTTTTCAGGTGGTTAATTGGCGATAAGAGTCTCACCAACTTTCCTGCCTGGGCTGGCTTTGAACCATGATCCTCAGATTTCAACCATCTGAGTAGCTAGGATTTAGATAGATAGCTTGCTTTTTATAAAACAGTATTGTGCACTTGCTGTTTACAGTGACCTTGCCTTATTCTTCTGGCATCCACTGAGTGAGTGTGTCGTAGTTTATACACTTGGCTCCTTTCTGGTCCCATTTAGATGCTATTCTCAGTGAAACTGCAGTGAGCAGGCCCTATGTTTTCTTTTCTTTTTTTTTTTTTTTTTTTTTTTGGGTCCGGTCATGGGGCCTGAACTCTGGGCCTGGGCGCTGTCCCTTAGCTCTTCAGCTCAAGGCTAGCGCTCTACCACTTGAGCCACAGCACCACTTCCAGCTTTTTTTCTTTTTGCTTATGTGGTGCTGAGGAATCGAACCCAGGGCCTCAGGCATGCAAGGCAAGCGCTCTACTACTGAGCCACCTTCCCAGCCCGCCCTTTGTTTTCTTTAAGTGTACTGGGGATAACCTGGCATATATGGGTAGAAAAATAGATACGATCATAAGGGTTCTGCACAAGAATTCTCGTTTGCTTTCCTCCCTGAGCCCACATGGCAGTGCACATTGATATGTTTATATCTTTTCTTTCCAGGCTGCTCAGAGTGTGAATAAGGCATTGGAGCAGTTCGTGAAGCCAGAACAGCTAGATGGAGAAAACTCCTACAAGTGCAGCAAGTATGATGGAGGGTGACCTGTTGGGCCTTGCTTCCTGCTCCCCCCATGGTGTGAAAGAGTTGGGTGTTCCCAAACTACCCACCAGCTTGCCTGTAGCTGCTCGAGCCATCTGGGGAGGCCACAGCATGCAGTGTCAGTGTTGGCACTCTCTAAGATTCTGTGCCCTTGTTAAGCCAGTACTTTACCACAGGACCAGCTGTGGAGGGAGAGGACAAAATAATGTGCTGGACACTAGTGCAGTTGCATAGGTGATGCAGGGAGCCAGGAGAGCTTCTTTGCTGCTTTTCCTGGTAGAAGAGGATTGAAATAATGACACTTCCTCCCAGGGGAGATCAGGGTATTTCCCTCTCATGGGTATCCAAGGTGTGGTGAGTGTCTGCTGGAAACATTTTACATTACATTATTATTATTATTTTTTTTATTTGAGGGAAAGCTGGTTGCTGTCCCTCAGCTCTTCAGCTCAAGGCTAGCGCTCTACCACTTGAGCTACAGCTCCACTTCTGGCTTATTTCTTTTTGCTTATGTGGTGCTGAGGACTCGAACCCAGGGCCTCAGGCATGCAAGGCAAGCGCTCTACCACTGAGCCACCTTCCCAGCCCCTATATTACATTATTCATATATTTTACATGTCTTTACATATTTTAAGTAGATTGCTACTTTATAGTCTGGTTGGGATATGGGGCTTTAGCCCAGGCCTTATTCATGCGAGGCGAGCACTTCACCATTGAGACATATCCCTGGCCTAAATTAATTTATTTTGAGATTATTGGTGGCCTATGTGTCTGGTGTTTCAGATTTGCCCTACCTGTTTTTTGGTGTTTTTTTTTTCCTCCCAGGGCTGAGGACTGAACCTAGAGCCTTGCACGCCCCGGGCGGGTGCCTTCCACTGGGCTAAACCCCCAGCCCCTTTTTTGGTGTTTCCCCCCGCCCCCCCTTTTCCTTCCTTTTTCTTTATGAGATAGGGTCTCCTTAGGTAGCCCAGTCTGGCCTCAAACTTGAGATCCTCCTGCTTCATTTTTCCCAGCATTGGAATGACAGGTGTGTCCTACTGTGCCTAGTCTATCTTTTTTTTTTCTTTTTTATGCATTCAGCAATTTCCCTTAAAAAAAATTTCTTTTGATGGTACTAAAGATTGAACCCAGGGCCTGCATATGCTAGGCAAGTCTTGTGTCACTCAGCCACATCCCCAGACCTCTTGGAATGTTGAATCATTTTAATATTGATATAAGGCGATGGTGTTTCTCATCTAATATTCCTATTGTGGAATCTTTGGTGTCTGCATGTCTGTGTGCATGTGTGTGCCACTACTTTAACTCAGGGCTTATACTCAGGCCTCTAATTATTGATTTTTCTCATTATACCACTTGAGCCATGCTTCCACTTACAGCTTTTTGCTGATTAACTGGAGAGGAGACTCAGCTTTATTTGCCCTGTCTGGCACAGAAACAAGATTCTCGAATCTCAGCATCCTGAGTAGCTAGGATTGCGGGTGTGAGCCACTGGTGTCCAGCTATTGTTTTGGAATCGGGTGTGTGTGTGTGTGTGTGTGTGTGTGTGTGTGTGTGTGTGTGTGTGTGTGTGTGTGTGTGTGTGTGTGTGTGTGTGTGTGTGTGTGTGTGTGTGTGTGTGTGTGTGTGTGTGTGTTCAGTGGTGGGGCTTGAACTCTGGGCCTGGGTTCTGTCCCTCAGCTCTTCAGCTCAAGGCTAGTGCTCTAACACTTGAGCTACAGTGCCACTTCCAGTTTTCTAGTTGTTTATTGGAGATAAAGAGTTTCATGGACTTTCCTGCCTGGGCTGGCTTTGAACTGCAATCCTCAGATCTCAGCCTCCTGAGTAGCTGAGACTACAGGCATGAGCTACTGCTGTGTGTTGTTTTTGTACATATGTGTCTGCCACTTCTGAGGCTTGAACTTAGGGTCTAGGTTTTGTCCGTAAGCTTCATTTTGCTCAAGGCTAGCAAGCTGCCATTTAAGCTATAACTCCACTTCATCTTTTCTGGTAGTTTGTTTGGAGATAATTATCTCATGAATTTTCCTGCCTCGGCTGGCTTTGAGCTGTGGTCCTCAGATCTCAGCCTCCTATGTAGCTAGGATTCCAGGTGTGGACCACAGGCACCTGGCTTGGAATCTTAATTTATGATGTCTCAGAAGAATAAGAAGGGAAAGATTAAAATATCAAAAAAGACACATCATAATCTTGTTTTTCTGTGTATTTTCAGGTGTAAAAAGATGGTTCCAGCTTCAAAGAGGTTCACTATACATAGATCCTCCAATGTTCTTACACTTTCCCTGAAACGCTTTGCAAATTTCACAGGGGGAAAAATTGCTAAGGTATGTAGATGATGTTAATAATTTTTGTGTGGAGGCTTTCAAGGCTTAAGTGTCAGCAGCTGTTAAGAGTTATAAATGACTTGATCCAATAGTTTTGTTGATAGTTTATTGATATTAATAGTTTATTGTGGTTTCATTATAGTTTATTCTAAACTTCCTGGCATTTGGTAGCAGGCAAAAAAGGTCAGGGGAAGGAGCTTATGAATGCATGTATTTTCTCTGTGTCCTCCAGCTGGTTACACTTTCTAGTGAAGAAACTGCTTTTAGACTTCATACTCACTTCTCTAGTATCCATGGTATGGAGGTGATAGAGGGAGAACTTGTATAGTTTGAAATCCAGAAGATGGCTGACCACCAGTGGCTCATAGCTGAAATCCTTGCTACTGATATCTGAGGATTGCAAGTTCAAAGCCAGCTGGTACAGAAAAGTCTATGAGACTCTTATCTCCAATAAACTGCTCAACTGTGGCCCCCCCCCCCCCCCCCCCGAAATGGCACTTAGGAGCAAGTGGTAGAGTGCTAACCTGGAGCATAAAAACTTAGGGACAGCACCTAGGCACCTAGGCCTTTAGTTCAAGCCCCAGTTGCAACACACACATACACACAAAGGATTTCACTGACAGATGTTTGCTGTCTAATTTTTTGATGTACATTAAACTTTCCTGTTTTCTGTTTACCTAGTAAAGGCTGCAAATGGCTAAAAGCTCGGTATCATGAGAGAAATAATTAATACATTCCTGGGTCATTTAAAATAAAAATGTATTAATTTCCAGAATTGTCATTCTGTGCTGGTGAGCTGTAGCAATGGCAGCTGGCAGATCATCATTCTGTTTACTGTCTCCTTTGGCAAATTTGAAGAATTCACTAGACGATTGCCTTAAAATACGTTCAGATTCAGATGTCCTTTGAAAGGTGGTTGAACATGTTTGCTTTCTGCCAGAACATCACAGTGTCCGTGGATCACCCCCCCACCCCACCCCCAAGATAGCCCTGTACCTAAATATGTGGCACAGTCTGTGCCTTCAGAGATGACCTTCATTCTTCCTCTTTCCATGTCTGTTTAGGATGTGAAATATCCTGAGTACCTTGATATTCGGCCATACATGTCTCAACCCAATGGAGAACCAATTATTTATGTTTTGTATGCAGTGCTGGTACACACTGGCTTTAACTGCCATGCTGGCCACTACTTCTGCTACATAAAAGTAAGCTGGGTGGGATCGCTCTTTGTGGGTGAATGGTGGAACTTTTACAGTTAAAAGTGGGCCTGTCAGCTGGCCACAGTTGGCTCAGATCTTTAATTCTTGCTATTTGGGAGGCAGAGACTGGGGAATCATCATTTTATACCAGCCCAGGCAAATGAAGTTGATGAAACTCCATCTTGACCAGTGGCCGGACACTGCAACGTGTTCATGTCATCCTAAGCTACAGGGAAAGCAAAACGGCCTGGCAACTTGGCATGTAACTGTCATTCCAACTGGTTTGAGAAAGCACAATTAGGATACCAGTCCAGGCTGGCCTGACCTAAAGCAAGACCCTGTGGCAAACAATAACCAACACAAAAAGGGCTGGAGGACTGGCTCAATGCCTGCTTAAAATTATGAGGGACCAGGTACTGGTGGCTCATGCCTGTTATCTTAGCTACTCAGGAGGCTGAGCTCTGAGGATTGTGGTTCAAAGCCAGCCAGGGCAGAAAAGTCCCTGTGAGACTAATCTATAATTAACTATTCAAAAACCGGAAGTGGTGCTGTGGCTCAAGTGGCAGAGCCGCTAGCATTGAGCACTAAGAAGCTCAGGGACCAGCAGCAGGCTCTGAAAAAAAGTTATTTAAAAAGTGTGATGGAAGTGGCACTGTGGCTCAAGTGGTAGAGCGCTAGCCTTGAGCTGAAGAGCTGAGGGACAGCGCTCAGGCCTAGAGTTCAAGCCTCAAGCCCATGACCGACCAAAAACAAAAAAAAAAAATGTGAGGCTCTCAGTTCAATCCCCATTACTGCCAAAAAGGAAAAAACAAAAACAAATGAATGTCTGTTCTGCTTATGTGTTTCTTGACTGTGTTCTTTGTTAATGTAAATCTTTCCATTCTTACTGCTCTCTCTTGCAGGCTAGCAATGGCCTCTGGTATCAAATGAATGACTCCATCGTGTCCACCAGTGATATTAGATCAGTACTCAGCCAACAAGCTTATGTGCTCTTTTATATCAGGTATTGTCATAAAAACAAGCTTTTCTGTTATCTCTTTTCCTTTCATCAACATATTTAAATTTGGTTTAAGTTAGTTTTATTTTTTTTTTATTTTTTATTTTATTTTATTGTAAAGCTACTATACAGAGGGTTACAGTTACATGAGTGAGGTAATGAGTACACTTCCTCTTGAACATTGTTACCCCCTCCATTGTTTTCCCCCTACCATCCCCTCCCTCACTCCCTTCCTTAAGTTAGTTTTAAAAACAGCAACTTGCCGGGAGCCAGTGGCTCACGCCTGTAATCTTAGCTACTCAGGAGGCTGAGGTCTGAGGATCGTGGTTCAAAGGCAGCCCAGGCAGGAAAGGCTGTGAGACCCTTATCTCCAATAAACCACTAGAAAACCAGAAGTGGCTCTGTAGCTCAAGCGGTAGAGCACTCGCCTTGAGCTGAAGAGTGCAGGGATAGCATCCAAGCCCAGAGTTCAAGCCCGACAAAAAAACAAAAAAACCCCAACAAAACAAACACCCTAGCAACTTGAAGATGAATGCCATGTTCCTTAAGAGGAAAGATGTTTCTGAATAGAGTTTGGGAGTTGTCATTGCTTTCCTGCTCTGGCAGCTCAATACTAAAAGGTGCAGAAGGACAGATAGATGCCAGCTGGGGGACTTGTACTTCTGGCTGCAAACCAAGTGGCACGAGGGGCTCTGGAGGCAGGATGGGGCTTTGTGAAGGCGTGCTGAGTACCCTGCATGGTCATAGCTGGACTTCTGCACCACTGAGCACACCTGCCATTAGGAACCCGTCTAGCCTGGCATAGTACTCAGGTCTCTGTTCTGTTGAGGCTGCAAACTCTGACTTACTAGTTCTGTGTTTAGAAAAAAAATCTGATGAATGCTCCAAGCCTTCCAATCCTCCACCTCCTTTTAATGGTGTTGTGGCTTAAACCCAGGGCTTTAGATATTCAAGGCAAGCTCTCTACCAGAGCTAATTGGGCATCTTTTTTTTTTTTTTCAGTTATGGGCTTAAACTCTGGGCCTGGGTGCTGTCCCTTAGCTTTTCAGCTCAAGGCTAGCACTCTACATCTTGAGCCGCTATGCCACTTCCAGTTTTCTAGTGGTTTATTGGAGTTAAGAGTTGCATGGACTTCCTGCCTGGGCTGGTTTTGAACCGTGATCCTCAGATCTCAGCCTCCTGAGTAGCTAGGATTACAGGCATGAGCCACCAGCACCCAACAAACATCTTTTTTTTTTTTTTTTTTTTGAGTCCGGTCGTGGGGCCTGAACTATGGGCCTGGGCACTGTCCCTCAGCTCTTCAGCTCAAGGCTAGCACTCTACCACTTGAGCCACAGCGCCACTTCTGGCTTTTTTCTTTTTGCTTATGTGGTGCTAAGGAATGGAACCCAGGGCCTCGGGCATGCAAGGCAAGCGCTCTACCACTGAGCCACCTTCCCAGCCCCAGCAAAACATCTTTTTTTAGTTGCTTTATTTATTCATTTAGGTCTTTTATAGTTTTTTTTTCTTTTTCCAGAGCTGAGGACTGAACTCAGGGCCTTGTGCTCTCCAGGCCCTGCTGAGCTTAACCCCTAGCCCCAAGGCATCTTTTTTTTTTTTTTTTTGGGTCTGGTCGTGTGGCCTGAACTCTGGGCCTGGGCGTTGTTCCTCAGCTCTTCAGCTCAAGGCTAGTGCTCTATCACTCGAGCCACAGCGCCACTTCCGGCTTTTTTCTTATGTGGTGCTGAGGAATTGAACCCAGGGCCTCATGCATGCAAGGCAAGCGCTCTACCACTAAGCCACCTTCCCAACCCAAGGCATCTTTTTTTAATAGCTAAAAATGTAGAATTTTCCGAAACATCCAATGAGGACAGATGATTGTACGTCGGGCTGTGTGATAAAGTATTATGTAGCTATCAAGAGTGATTTTTTTTTTCTTTTGAGCCGGCGTTGGGGGAGTTTCCCTTGTTCTAGCCTGGCCTTGATCTCGTAATCTTGCAGCTAAGTGATTTTTGAGGAAAGCAGTTTGAAATATTAAAACACTGGTGTTTAAAACAATGTTGTGGATAGATAATGTTTTCTTCTTAACTTTTTTGGATCTAACAGAATGTTTGTTTCTCTTTGCTCCTGCGGTTAGAACTCAGGGCCTTGTACTTGCCGGGCAGTTCTCTGCCACTTGACCCACATCCCCTCAGCCTTGGACCTGGTTTTCTACAGCGGTACACATTTGTTACTAAATATAAATAATTAGAAAAGTAGGTTGTTTGCTCATTTGTTTTGTTGGTCGTGGGGCTTGAACTCTGAGCCTGGGCGCTGTCCCTCAGTTCTTCAGCTTAAGGCAAGTGCTCTACCACTTGAGCCACAGCGCTATTTCCAGTTTTTTGGTGGTTAATTGAAGATAAGAGTTTCATGGACTTTCGATGGCTTTGAACCGTGATCCTCAAATCTCAGCCTCCTGAGTAGCTAGGTTTACAGGCATGAGCCACTGGCGCCCGGTGAAAAGTAGTTTTTTATTTAATTTTTAAAATTGTTACTATAAAGGTGATATCCTGAGGGGTTGTAGTTATTTTATTTTTTTTGTCGGCTGTGGGGCTTGAACTCTGGGCCTAGGCACTGTCCCTCAGCTCTTCAGCTCAAGGCGAGCGCTCTACCACTTGAGCTACAGCGCAACTTCCGGTTTTCTGGTGGTTTATTGGAGATAGGAGTCTCATGGTCTCTCCTGCCCGGGCTGGCTTTGAACCGCGATCCTCAGATCTCAGCCTCCTGAGTAGCTAGGATTACGGGCGTGAGCCACCAGCGCCCGGCTTGAGGGGTTGTAGTTATTTAAGTCAGGTAAAGAGTAGGGGCTGGGGGTTTAGCCCAGTGGGAGGGCGCCCGCCTGCTGCGTGCAAAGCCCTGGGTTCGGTCCTCAGCCCTGGAAAAAAAAAAATAAAAGAGTACATCTCTTTTTGGACAATGTCACGCCTTCCTTCTCCCTGATTTTCTCTCCCATCCTCACTCACAAGTTGTGTAGTTCACTTTCAACATAGCGTTCAGTGAATACCATGGCTGCATTTTTTGAAAAGTAGCTTTGTGAAGCACAATGTGTTATTTACTGTCTGCCCAGGTGTCTTTTTTTTTTTTTTTGGGTCTGGTCTTGGGGCCTGAACTCTGGGCCTGGGTGCTGTCCCTCAGCTCTTCAGCTCAAGGCTAGCACTCTACCACTTGAGCCACAGTGCCACTTCCGGCTTTTTTCTTTTTCTTATGTGGTGCTGAGGAATGGAACCCAGGGCCTCATGCATGCAAGGCAAGTCTCTACCACTGAGTCACCTTCCCAGCCCCTCCTCCAGGTGTCTTGATGAGCACCTCACCTCCACTAGAGGAGGCCATGGCTACACTGTATGGGAAAACAAAAGCCTGGTCTCTTCAGCTTTTGTCTGAGGGGTTAGTGCTGTTGAATTTGCAAGTGAATCTCTTGTAGGGAGATGTCATTTGTCACCTTAAGCAATATTCTTTGTCCCCAGGTCCCATGATGTGAAAAATGGAGGTGAACTTACACATTCTCCCCACAGCCCTGGACAGTCCTCTCCCCGCCCGGTGATCAATCAGCGGGTTGTTACCAACAAGCAGGCTGCACCAGGGTTTATTGGACCACAGCTTCCCTCTCATATAATGAAGGTAACATTTCATAGGTGGAAACCTATCTTTATGTCAGTTTGAAAGATGTGTCACTGTCCCAGCTAGTAACACCTCCCTCCCCTCCATCTACAGCCTAGTTTCTCATTAGGTCTGTTGTGTCAGAGATCTGAAGATCTCTAGAAAGCCTGAGATGTTGGCGTGATCCAGAGCTCGCTCTGAGTATGTGCAGATCTTAGTTCCTACCACGGACTTGATGGGACGTGCAGGAGAATATTTGGCTTCTTCATGAGTGTTGGCTGTAGCAAAGTGCCCATTTACAGAGCTGAGGTCATCATGTCCACATGCCTGTTTCCATCTCCTTCCCACCTGGGTGATGGTCCACCCAGTAGCCCTGGCAGGCCTGCAGCGTGCCTGTGTTATGTGCAGCAGTGCACAGAGTGGGGCCTCACTCTCCCAGTTCTGAGACTGAGGCAGCTTGCTGCACGGGGCTCAGCTGTGTCGCTGGTGCAGGATTGGGTTTGGTCTGAATTCTGATGGTCTAGTTGTCACTTTTCCTTGGTGTTATTGGGCAGCATATGAACTCAGTGCCTCTGAGGGGTGGCTTCTAGCTCAATAGGGCTGTGCTTTACATGCCCTTGCATAGGGTAGCAGCTATTTATTTTTCAAGTTTTTTTTTTTTTAATCTTTTGAACTCAGCTTGCTAGGCAGATACTATACCATTTGAGCCCCTCTGCCAGTCTCTTTTTTTTTTGGGGGGGGGGGGCGGGAGGGGTCCGGTCGTGGGGCCTGAACTCTGGGCCTGGGCGCTGTCTCTTCAGCTCAAGGCTAGCGCTCTACCACTTGAGCCACAGAGCCACTTCCGGCTTTTTTTTTTCTTTTTGCTTATGTGGTGCTGAGGAATCGAACCCAGGGCCTCAGGCATGCAAGGCAAGCGCTCTACCACTGAGCCACCTTCCCAGCCCTGCCAGTCTCTTTTTGCACTAGTTACTTTTTAAAAAAAATTTTTTTTTGTGAAATTACCATACAGAGGAGTTACAATTACATGGGCAACATAATGAGTACATTTCTTATCAAGCATTGTTGCCTCCTCCTTTGTTTCCTCTTCCCATCTCTTCCCATCTCCCTCCCTCCCCCTGCCAATCCCCCGCATAAAGTTGTAAAGTTCGTTTTTTGACATATAACGATTTGTACATCTCATTGTTGCAATGGGTCCACCTGTATCCCTATTTAAACGATTTGTTTTTTCCCTTCCCCTCCACAAATTATCCCAACATCAAATACAGTGAAAGCAGGGGTTATACTGTGGGGGAGGGATCACTAGTTACTTTTGAGATAGGCTTTCATTTTAAGACCTGGACTGTGATCCTTCTCTTTGTCCTTCCCTTTTTCTCTGGGAGGATGAGTGCTTATAGCACTGTGGCTGCGTGGCCCTAGCCATCGTATTTCCCATGGCTGGGGTGACAGGAGCATGCTCCAGCCGCCTTGCCCAGCCATTCAGCCATTGGTTGAGGTAAAGTTTCATTCAAGAATTTTTCTGCTCAGGCCGACCTTGAACACAATTCCTCCATCTCCATCTCCCAAGTAGTTAGGATTTCAGGCTTGAGCTACTTTTATTTTCTTCCCCCAGTTGTTTGATTTTTGTGTGAAGCCTTTCACTATAACTGTTAAGATATCAGGTACTTCAGTTATGTAAGAAAACATGAAGGCTGGGCTGGGAAGGTGGCTCAGGGGAGAGTGCTTGCCTTGCATGCATGAGGCCCTGGATTCGATTCCTCAGCACCACATAAGCAGAAAAAGCAGGAAGTGGTACTGTGACTCAAGTGGTAGAGTGCTAACCTTGAGCTGAATAACTGAGGGTCAGTGCCCAGAACCAGAGTTCAAGCCCCACGACAAAAAAAAGAAAACATGAAGGCCAACATGATTTGTCTACAAACTAGCTTTCACTATGGTCATCATAGGGTTTAGCGATAGTAGTGGGGACATGGAACAACAGAACTGCATGAGAACTGGGGGAGCTGATAGGGAGGTGGCAAAGACGTGGCAGCCTGGTGACAGGACGTGGAGCCGTCTTTGTGTCTCTCCACATGGTAGTATCCCTGGCGCTAAGGCCATTAGTGATTCTTGCTTCCTGGCACTTCCTTCTGCCTGAGCCGAGGAGCTTACAGGCGACCGACCACGTCCTCAGGGCCCTGACGATCACTGTCAGGTTTGGAACTGAAGTTGGCTTAGGGTTTGTGTTCTGAAAGACATACTTGTCTGATTTATTGTTTCATTGCCAGAAACCCTGGCCTGTGAAAGGCATGTGGGTGGAGCAGGTGAATGAGAAGGTGTTTCTAGATAAGTCAAACATGACCAAAACGAGCAGGCCTGAGGCAGCATGGATGTGGTTCTGAGCACTGATGCAAGCTTTTCTTCTTCCAGAATGCACCTCACTTAAATGGGACTGGGCCACTGAAGGACACGCCAAGCAGTTCCATGTCAAGTCCTAATGGAAACCCCAGTGTTAACAGGACTAGTCCTGTTAATGCTTCCACTTCTGTTCAAAACTGGTCAGTTAACAGGCCCTCAGTTATCCCTGAACACCCCAAGAAACAAAAAATCACCATCAGTATTCACAACAAGCTGCCTGTCCGCCAAGGTCAGTCCCAGCCTAACATTCACAGCAATTCTCTGGAGGCCCCTACAAAGCCTGCTCCCTCCTCCACCGTCACCAGTTCTTCTGCAATACAGTCTACCTCGAATGCATCGCCGATGTCAGTTTCTAGTAAAGTAGCAAAATCAGTCTCCCCAAGCGAGCCCTGCTCCCAGCCAGTGGTGAACGGCAAGTCCAAGCTGAGCTCCAGCGTGCTGGTCCCCTATGGCGCTGAGTCCTCCGAGGAGTCCGATGAGGAGTCCAAGGGCCTCACCAAGGAGAATGGTGCCAAGGAGAACGGTGTGGGCCCCACACTGAGCCCATTCCCCACTGCTCAAGAAGCGGAGGAAGGCGAGGCCTCGCAGCCGGAGCTGCTGGAGCCTGTCTCCCTAAATGGTGCTAATAGTGCAGATGGCAACCCGAAGGAGAATGGCCTGTCCTTTGACAGTGCCAGCTGCCATGTGCAGCCCTCTCTACTCGCAGAAAACCCCTTTTCCAAAGCAAATGGTCTTCCTGGAAAGGTGAGTGAGCATCTGCGTGGCGGCTCCTGTGTCATCGGGGAGCACGGATGGCAGCTGGAGGTGACCTCTCTCCTTCTCGTTGCAGGTGATACCTGTCCTTTTGCCATCTCTCCCAGAGGACAAAATCTTGGACACCTTCAAACTTAGCCACAAAGTCAAAGTTTCAGCGGGTGAAACAAGGTAAAACAATAGGTGACTTCGTACAACTACTGAAAGGTAGTGAAAATACTACAAAAATAAAAAAGAATAAATGAGAAGGGAAGCTCGCAGCACGACAGTCAGTTGTGCCTGTGTTGTTCTGTTAGCTCTGTAGAAGTCTTATAGCACACATTTTGAGTCCAGGAATGATTTGAAGAGATCTGTAGAATTGGTTAATTTGCTTTTTAGAAAGGTAAAGCCTTTGTGGAGCTGTTTGTCTCTCTTAAGGATGGTGTTTATGCTGACAGCGTCTCCACCCATCTACCTCTTTTCTGGCTAGCAGTGCTACTGCGCTCTTTTCTTTATTACTCAAGGCAGCTAGTGCTCTAGTGGAGCACTCAGCCACAACTCTACTTCCAGCTTTTTTGGCAGTTTATTGGAGATAAAAGTCTCACACACTTTCCTGCCCGGGCTGGCTTTGAACCTGGATCCTCAGATCTCAGCCTCCTGAGTAGCTAGGGTTACAGGCGTGAGCCACCGGCGCCCAGCTTCATATGCTCTTAATAAGGAGCAGCTATGTGAAAGTATTAAGGTTATAGTGTGGGAGTTGTGAACTTGGACAAATCAAGTAAGGACCCTTGGAGAAGTATGGGATGAAATTCATAGAGAATGTAGACTGTTCCTATCAGTCTATGCTGACCAAGGTGTAATTCAGGAATCAAATGGAAGGGCCAGTGACTCAGGGTCCAGTCCACCCAAGGGCACATGTTCAGTAGATGGTGTGTGGCCACGTTCTGATGAAGACCAAGTTCTGGCACAGTTCTGACCAAAACACAGTATATCCACCTCTCAGTCTTTCAGGAGTCAAATTCCTGGGACTCTCAGTGCTTGTGGGAACTGGGTTTTACATCCCATAGATGCCATGTGCAGGATGGGCCCTGGCAGGCAGAAACACCCTACTGAATCTCTGGGTTTACCCTTCCAGTGGAATGGGAGTCCTGTGGGCACAGGACGTCTTTTCCCTCCTGGTTCTTTCCTGAGCTCCCCATGTGTAGATATATGAGTGAGAGGAGGTCCGGCTGCCTGCAGCCATGTGCACCACAGCTGCATTGCAGCTGTCCCCGGCTCCCATGTGTGAGGTGCCGGCTTGGGTCTGTCAGGGCAGAATGATTTCCCTACAGAATGTTCCCAGGCTTCCTGAGAACAGGAGATTTAGGAACCTAGTCTAGTGTAAAGCTCCCCTGCCTTTGGTTTTGTTATGTTTTGTTTTTTGGTGCTAGTACTGGAGCTGAACTCAGGGCCTGTGCTCTCTCATGTAGCTTTTTCCCTCAAGCACTACCACTTGAGTCACAGCTGCACTTCCAGCTTTTGGTGATTAATTGCCCAGATTGGCTTTATTTTTAAGTTGTTGGTTTTTTTTTTTGGGGGGGGGGTCTGGTCGTGGGGCCTGAACTCTGGGCCTGGGCGCTGTTCCTCAGCTCTTCAGCTCAAGGCTAGTGCTCTACCACTTGAGCCACAGCGCCACTTCCGGCTTTTTTCTTTTTGCTTATGTGGTGCTGAGGAATCGAACCCAGAGCCTCATGCATGCAAGGCAAGCGCTCTACCACTGAGCCACCTTCCCAGCCCTACCCAGACTGGCTCAGATCTCAGCCTCCTGAGTAGCTAGGATTACAGGCGTGAGCCTCTGGTGTTCTGTGCCGGGTGTCGGGCTACACTGTTGGCCCTTTGCTGGTGACTTGGAGATAAGTGTCTCACAGATTTTACTGCTGGGGTTGGGTTGTTACTGAAAATTAAGATTTGATTAAAAAAACAAAACAAAAACCAATAACTTAGTTTTATATAATGAGGGAGAAAGGAACGCCTTCCAGCGCTGTGTGTTAGCTAGATGTGCTTGAAGTCATGAAGTATTCCTGGGTCGGCGGGCGGCCCCTCGCGGTCTGGCTGACTGTGGTGTGTTGCTTTAGCCCCCCTGGAGCAGGGAGAAGCCCTCCCGAGGACCCCGCCGAGCCCGAGCCGCCCAGCGCCAGCGCCAGCGCCGCGGCCCCCGACACGCCGGCGGCCGCCAGCCCGAGCAAGTCCACGGCGCCCCCGCTGGCGGACCCCGGCGGCGTCACCTCTACCAAAGAAGGCGGACCCGCAGCGGACCCGGCGGCGCCCGGCGAGGACGGGGACCGCGATGGGGACCGCGATGAGGACGGGGACCGGGACAAGGACGAGACCCTTCCCCGTATCCACGCGCCTTGCGGCCCCCCGGGAGTCCCGCGCACCCCGCCCCACGAGGCGGCCCGGAGAGCCGAGAGCCCTGCCGCAGAGGCCGGGGAGAAGCGGAGCCCTGCGCCCCCGGCGCCCTCGGAAGACGGGGCGGAGCCCGCGCTCCGGGTTCACCTCCGCAGGGACTGGGGCGAGGCCGCCGAGGAGCCCCCGGCGCCCCCCGCGCCAGACAGGACCGCGGCCGCCCCTGCGGACGGGGGTGCAAGGCGCGGGCCCCCGGGGGACGAGGGCGACGCGGGGATCCCGGCCCGGGACAAGGCGGATGGCCTGGGCGGCCTCCGACGGGCGGAGCGGGGCCACTGCCGGGACCGCAGCCACTGCCGGGACCGCAGCCGCAGGGACCGGGACCGGGACCGCGATCGCGATGCCCGCGACCCAGGCCGCTCCGGAGACCGCGGCCGCTCGGGCAGCGGGGATCGGGGAGAGCGCCTGCGGGACAGCCGGGGCGGCTCCGCGGCCCACGGGCCCCACCGCCACGGGCGGCGGCGCTCCTACGGCCGGGAGCACTGCGCGGGGAGCCCGCGCCCGCCCGGCCACAGCCACGGCCACGGCGGCCCGGAGCCCCGTGGTCCGGGCAGGTACGGCCACCACCGCCCGCGGAGCCGGAGTCGCAGCGGGCCCGAGCAGGACTGGGGGCGGCACCGCCGCGCGGAGAGCGAACTGGCCCGGGCCCGCGAGGACTTCCACCCCGGGAGGCTCCGCTGGGACCGAGGCTACCGCCACAGGTTCGCGCCCTACGCCGCCCGCGAGCACTGGGCCTCGGCCCGGCCCCGGGACTGCTACTGGGCCCAGGCCCGTGGCCTCGACCGGCCCCGGGACACCACACCGCCGCCTGGGCCCGACGGCTGCGGCCTTCCCGAGCGCCTTCACGGACACGAGAGTGCCAAGGCCCGGAAGCGGAGGTACGAGAGTGTGGACTCCAACCACAGCCACCCCGACAAGAAAGCCCGCAGAAGCTTCGAGAAGGACCCGTCAGGGGAGCCGAGGGCCAAGAAGCACAAAAAGTCAAAGAAGAAGAAGAAGTCCAAAGACAAACACAGAGAGCGCGACTGCAGGTGAGTGGAGGGCGCCGCGCTGCCCGCCCGCCTGCGCGACCTGCGCGACCTGCGCGCGCTCGGAATCTCCGTCCCGCGCTGGCCTGTAACACTATTCTTACACTCTTTCACTTCGCTAACATTCTAAAACTTAGCGCCCTCTAGACGCCTCCCTGTCCATTGCCTGGACCTGCTGCGGAAGCCCGCAGCTTCTGTGGGCTCTAGTGGGGTTTCTTGGCTTGGGCTTCCTTCACATTTAGTGAGTATGATGGAGGCCGACCATGGAGGCCGGGGGCTGAGGTGTATCGCTTATTTCCTTGGTTTTGTCTTATTTTTCGGAATCTCATTTTGAAATCTAAAAGGTATTTTTGTTTACTTGGTTGGGTCTGTCTTCTTCCTGTTGGTACGGGAGTTTGAATTTAGGTCTCTGTACAAGTCCATGATAGCGTAGAGTTACTCAGGTCGGGGTCCCAATCTGCCCACTTTTATCTTCCCATCATCCCGAGGTGCCTGCACCCAGCTTTCTCTATGGAGATGGATTTTCATGGGCTTTTCCGCCTGGCCTGACCCTTGCACCCAGCTCTGGACTGAGAAGGGTTCTTACTAATTTTCTGCCCAGGCTGGCCTCCAACTTGAGTCTTCCTATTCTCATCCTCCCAAGTAGCTAGGATTTACAGGTATGAGCCGCTGGTGTCTGGTGGTGGTGGTGGTGTGTGTGTGTGTGTGTGTGTGTGCGCATGCGTGTGTGTGCGTGCATGTGTGTGCGTGTGTGTGCGTGTGTGTGTGCGCGTGTGTGTGTGTGTGTGTGTGTGTGTGTGTGTACTGGGGCTTAAACTCAGGACTTCATACTTGCTTGGCTTGCTTGTTTGCGGTGTGCTCTACCACTTGAGCCGTGCCTCATGGCTTTTGTAGATGGAGCTCAGTGGTGGCTGAATCCAGTGGCAGAGTGGAAGTTGGTTAGTATATAATTCTGGGCTTAAAAAATGGTTACAGTAGGTTGAGGCGTGGTGGTGAAGTCCTGTAATCTCAGCACTTGGGAGGCAGAGGCAGGAAGATGGAGACTGAGACCAACCAGGGCTACACAGTGAGACACTGCCCTGGGGAGTTTGCATGTGCACATGGCCCTGGCTGGTGGCACGCACGCAAAGGGCAGCCTGTCTGACGCTGTTCTGTCCGCTGTCTTGGTGCTGAATTCCGGCTGCTGCTTCTGCAGGCCCCAGCAGGATTTGGAGCTTTCCGTATCATACTCTGACGCTGACCTCCACAGACACAGAAAGAAGAAGAAGAAAAAGAAGAGACACTCGAGGAGATCAGAGGACTTTGGGAAAGATGCAGAACTACACCTAGTGAAACCCGTGAGCTATGAGGCCATGGGCCATTTCCGGAGAACTGAGGGCAGTGTTTTGCTCACTGAGGGCCCCTTCCGGGAGAAGACGAAGCATCTGAGGATGGAGAGCAGGGCCGACAGATGCCATCTGTCCGAGTATGGCCAGGGTAAGAGAGAAACTTGGAAACTTTGTTTTCAAAAAGGTGATTAACACCTGGAGAGAGACCCTCCAGGGCCACAGAAGTGTTCAAGCCCCCCAGGCAGGCCATGCACCCATCCTATGCCTGCAGACGCAGCTGTGCCTGCTAAGCTGTGCAGTCGCTCAGTGTGGCTGCGTGACGCCTTTGCTGTGTGGAACCCGGCCTATTGTACTCAGAACTGGTACCTATGGCCCCCACCTTCTGAGGGTTTGTCTTGTGAAGGGACTGGGGCTTGAACTCAGGGCCTCAAGCTCTTAGCTGTTTGGTTCATAGCTGGTGCTCTACCTCTTGAGCCATGCCTCTACTTGCAGCTTTTTGCTGGTTAATGGAGAGAAGAGCATTATGATTTGTCTGCCCTTGCTGGCTCCAAACCTCAATCATCAGATCTTAGCCTCCTGAGTAGCCAGGATTATTGTCATGAATCATTGCCACCTGGCTAACATAGTTTTTATAGAAATAGTTTTGAAATATGTGCTTTGTTCTCCTTAAAGCTTTCTTAGTGTATCCTAACTCTGGGGTCAAACTTGATGAGTTGGGTCATTAGGAATGTTAGCAGGCTTATGTCTGTAAATCCTACTTGGGAGATGGAAGTAGGAGGGATGCAGTTCAAGGCCAGTTTGGGCAAAAGGGTGAGGCGCTATCTCAACAAAGAAGTTGAATGTGATTTCTAAAGCCTACACTTTCAGATACTGGAGAGCCTGATCTTATCTGAAAAACAAACTAAAACAAAAAGGGTTAGGGATGTGGCTCCAATGGCAAAGTGCTTTCCTAACAACATGAGGCTCTGAGCCCAAGGGCTTGAACTCAGCCTGGGTGCTGCCCTTAAGCTTTGCTCAAGGCTAGCGCTGGTACCACTTGAGCCACAGCTGCACTTCTTGGCTGCTTTTTGGTGGTTAATTGGAGACAAGTCTCATGGACTTTCCTGCCCAGGCTGGCTGTGAACTACCATCTTCAGATTTCAGCCTCCTGAGTAGCTAGGATTACAGGTGTAAGCCACAGTGCCCGGCCCCCCAAAATTGAAGAAATGTTAATGGTCAGCCTATGGCTCCTGCCCTCCCTGCTCACTCCAAGGGCGCGTGTCTTGGCTTCGGGCACTGATTGCTCTTAGGGCAGCCCCTCTGCTTTGCAGCTGCCTGCAGCAAGAAGGATGAGCTGTTTAAAGTGGTGATGGGCAAGTCCAGATCCAGAGCAGAGGCCCTTGCCACACAGAGCCAGTCCTACTTGTTCTTTCTGCTCTGCAGGGTAACAGTGCCACTCATGAGGGTGCTTCATGCCAGCACTGTGGGTTTACACCTGTAGACTTTGTGTAGGGTCATTTGCTGTCCCACTGCCTGGATGCCACACAGCAGAGATGAACCAGTGACACAAAGGCTGGCCACCCACACACACCTGAAGTTTATATATGTGAGCAAGGACTTGACACCATGGCTGGCACAGGGCCACGTCCTCTCTTCTGTGAGGGAGGTCAGGCCAAGAGCCAGCCAAAGCCAGGCCCTCCATGCAGTTGTTGGTGCAGGGTACGAGGTAAAGTGCCCAGTCTAGAAGACCAGGCTGCAGCCCACAGGTGATATTGGCTGCCTGGAAAGAAATATGAATGTGGCATTTGTCCTTTGTGTTTTTTTTTTTTTTGTCAGCTATGGGGCTTGAACTCTGGGCCTGGGCATTGTCTCTGAGCTAGTTCAAGGCAAATGCTCTACCACTTGAGCCACAGTGCCACTTCTGGTTTTCTTATATTTTTTTATTTTTTATTTTTATTTTTTTTGGGGGGGGGGGAGGGTCCGGTCGTGGGGCCTGAACTTTGGGCCTGGGCGCTGTCCCTCAGCTCTTCAGCTCAAGGCTAGCGCTCTACCACTTGAGCCACAGTGCCACTTCCGGCTTTTATTCTTTTTTGCTTATGTGGTGCTGAGGAATGGAACCCAGGGCCTCATGCATGCAAGGCAAGCGCTCTACTACTGAGCCACCTTCCCAGCCCCACCACTTCTGGTTTTCTAGTGGTTATTTGGAGATGGGAGTCTTGTGGACTTTCCTGTCCAGGCTGATCTTGAACTGCAATCCTCAGATCTCAGCCTCTTGAGTAGCTAGGATTACTAAACAATGATCACATATCGTATTTAAGAACTGGTTCCATGTTAACATGTCAGCATTTTGGTGAAGAGGGCTGGTCAGAGGCTGAGTGGGGTGCTGGGCATACTAGGCTGTGGCAGCTTCCAGAACTCCTGCCAGGACTGCTTTCTTGAGGACACTCAGCAGCAGAGAGGACTGAGCGTGGCCTGCAGACCAGGATGCCTGCATGCCGGCTGAGGACAACCCTCAGCAGCCTCATCACATGTACCCCAGCCAGCTCTTTCTGCGTGCACATGAGCGCCTCAGGCAAGGCTGGCACATCCCCTGCAGGCATGGCTTGGGCATGTTTTCTGAGGGTCTGGCCTCACCATGTGAACCCATTTCATTGGGACACAGGAAGGAGCTATGTCTTTGTGCACTGACCCTTGTGAAGACTGATCTCAGAAGCTGGGCGCCGGTGCCTCACGCCTGTAATCCTAGCTCTCAGGAGGCTGAGATCTGAGGATCGAGGTTCAAAGCCCGCCCGGGCAGGAAAGTCTGTGAGATTCTTATCTCCAATAAACCACTAGAAAACCAGAAGTGGCGCTGTGGTTCAAAGCGGTAGAGCACTCGCCTTGAACTGAAGAGTTCAGGGACAGCACCCAAGCCCAGAGTTCAAGTCCCACGACTGACCAAAAAAAATAAAAAATAAAAAGACTGATCTCAGGTGACTGTGTGGGTTCGGGTTATAGGTGAGGCCACAGAGCCCAGATGTTAGATTTTGTAGAGTCATTAAAATCTATTTCTAACCTTTGCCTTCCAGGTGATTGAAAAACTTGGCCTTAGACAAACGTCACTAGTTACGGTAAGCCCTTCTCTGCTTCTGCTATGTAGTTAGTGGAAGCACTAGGGGGGATGTGGGTGAAGAGAACACAGGGCATCAGGGACCCTGGCCCTGGCCCAAGTGAATGAGTTGTCTCCTTCCTTCTGCTCCAGCACAGTGGCCCCGGCTCATTAGACTGGGCCGTGGGTGTGGCAAAGCAGAGCAGAGTAGCCCCACCCAGGGCAAGGGCCATTGTGCGCAGCCTAGGGATGCTGAGGGAACAGGGAGAGGGAGCCTTTTGGCTTTTGAAAGGCAGTCATGGCCAGTGAGTGTGTCTGGCAAAGGACATGGTAGGACAATTTCCAAGTGCTCTGTCTCTAGGTGTTCTCTCTTGCTGAGGGGCTGGGCTCCCTGGGAGCCAGGGCCCAGTCAGGTCCAGCAGATGGCGCTTCGCTGGCTCCTTCACCGTGACTACAGGCCCACCCCCCGAGGGCACTAACATGCACCTCTTGTCTTTCAGATTCAATGTGTTCAACAGAAGCCATCCCCAACCCAGCTTAAATTATCAACCTAGAGAATAACTCTGTTCAAACTGCGTGGTGCTTCTTTTAGTAAATACTGTACAGATTTTACCATGGAGAATTTTTTTTTTAGTTTTTTTTTTTTTTTAGTTTTTTTTTTAGTTTTTACCTTTTCTTAATTGCCCTTATTCCAAAAGGATGAACACTTTCTACAACTGCTGACCATTGTAAAATACCGTGTATATAAATCACATTGAAATAATGCCCTGGAATAGAACATCTCAAATGCTGCTTAATTACAGACTCAGGTTGATTACTTGTATTTCATGTAATGTTCCTCCACGTTAGACATCTGGTGCAGACCAACCGGGAAACAAACCATGGAATTATTAAAAGTACAAACTGACAGTGTGCATATTTAATTTAAAGACTTATTTAAAGATTTGCAAGCTCTCAACTAGACTTTCGAGGGCAGTCTGTTTTCTGTAATGTCTGATACTAGAAACTAATTTGCTTCATATTTTGGTTGTATTCAAGATTTGAACGTGTATTTTATAGACAAGTTCTGTTTTCGAACTTTGTGAAAATATTCCAATCAATTACCAGTTATTATAATGAGTATTTACATTATGAATGTATAATTCAAACATTATTTGTAAAGCCTGCAGTATGTTTTTATTACATAACACTTTTTTTATACAGTGTCTCTCGTCCTGATTATATGATATTGGAGTCTAAGTTGTCAGCTTGGTCCCTTCAAGTTTCTAGTTACAGACAAAAATTATACTGTGATTTTATTTTTAATATGGATATGCTATCAAACTGTGATACACTTATAATTCACTGGTCCTGCATCAGGAGATGGAGTGGGGAAAACTGTATTTAATACAGTTTGTGTTGTTCAGAGATGTCTAAAGTTTGATCTTTGTTTTTTTAAAGATTAAAAAAGCACTAGCCCCACTGTAAATATACAGCATGTAAAATTTATATAGTATATAAATGGCAGCAAAGTAAACATTTTGTGTCTTGTTCTTCTGTTTTCCCCACTTGCTTACAGCCACGTACGTCTCACTGATGCCTTTCTTAAAGCCTGCAGAGCTCCTGTGCCGCCCCCTGCAGGACTCTGTTTGGACTGTCACCCTGACTAGAGGCATGCCAGGGATGCAGGAAAGAGTGGATCAGACAATCTACAGCTTAACGATAGCTTTCATCTTTATTTCATGAACACAGTATTTGCAATAGTTTTCACAGCCATACACCCTCCAATTTCACTGTTGACTTAGCAACAAAATATCAATAGATATTTTGATATCAATAGATACTTTGAGATCAGTAGAGTATTTCTTCATGCAAGTTGGAGTATATATATATATATATATACATTGAATAACAAACACTCCAGAAATCAATACATATGTACATTATCTACATATTAACTATATTGTAAATAGAAATGTTTTCTAAGAAAAAACATAAGAAAATGAGAAATCACAACTGTGGCTTCTGGTCTATAACAGACCTAACTTAGCAGAGACGTGTGTGGACATATGCGCTTGTAACTACAGGCATTGCTGTACACGACATGAAGGCGGTGGCCTCCCCTGTGGTCATCTGTTTGATTCCATGGAACCACATTAAATGGCACCAACAGTTCTGGTCCCTGATGCTGCTGCTTGTCACAGCCCAGGGTCCAGCAAGGCTGGCTGGTGGGACTACGTCCAGGGCTGCTGCCATTTGTCTTTGGCCAGGTATGGGTGGGCTGATAAGCACTGAGTGACACGGGTGGAGAGAAGGGTAAGTCCTGCCAGCCCTGCCTCTACACTAGTTAAAACGGCTGGCCTCTCTTAGGTTAACAGTGTCACAACGAAACCTGAATTGGGGGACTAAACATAACATCCTGGAGGTCAAGTTCCTTACATTATGAGCACCAGGCCTTCTGCACTGCTCCTGCTGAACGGTGTCAGGCAAGCCTTGCTCACAGATGACTGTGGCATTAGATTTGCCATCCGGTGACCCAAGCTCACTGCTCTAACACCTGACACACGAGCTCCACCCCCAGGGCCATACCCAGGTTGGATGGCAGAGGGTGGCATTGGTCCAGGCAGGGCGGGGCGGCGCTCGTGCATGGAGGACTGGAGGCCAAGTTGCACAAGCAGCTGTCAGGCAGCGTGAGGAATCCATCTTGCCCTGCTCAAACACTGGTTTCAGATTTGAGGTATCAGTAAAGCCTAGGTGATTGAGAATAAGCTCAATGTAGGTGGAGCCTCAGACTTGGGCCTGTGTGGTCTAGCATGATGAAGCTACACCATGTCAGGCAGGTCTTGTTCTACCTAAGTGCACTGGGTCTGGGGACTTCCTTCCTGGACTTGCATTTTGCACAACACAAATGACCTCCAGGGGGAGCAAGTTCCAGGCGTGCTTGCACATGGGTAGGCAGCCACTGCCAACCCCCCAAGCCTGGGGGATGGGGGTGAGGTAAGGGTGGGGTTCTATGTATTATGCATAGGGCATCCTAGAGGTGCAGAAGAGACTCCCAACCTTGCCTTGTACCAATCACACAATGGCCCTGGCCTTCACCCACAGGTCCACCTGGCAGAGGCATCCGCAGCATGTGTCTGCAACTATTTCCATATGCGGAAGCCTGGACAAGCTGTGGGCTGTGGTGCTTCACAAATCCACCCTGGCACAGATGTGGCGCCCAATGCCATCCCTCCTGATGCAGCCTGCTCTTCCCCACCTCGTAAGGGAGATGACACCTGGCAACATGGCTCTACCCAAGGGTGGGCTTTTTTCCAGTTCCCTGAATATGTGCTCATTACTTCCAACTGCGACGTGGGAGCCAACGTCTTGCTGAAGTTTTGAAATAGTGACAAAAGTCAAAATCCAATTTCACCCACAAGTGCAGTTGAGCCGCATGAAACTGAAGGTGGAAGCAGATGGAGGTCAGCCATTTCATGCGGTTCAACGTGGATGGCCTATGTCCAGGGCATCGGCTCCATTTCCCGGGATTCAGCAGTTACAGGGTAACAAGCCATCTTATTTGGCTTTGGAGAAGCCCATGAGGGGAGGTGGCAAGGGCAAGTGCACAGGTCCTCTGGGTACCCAGTGCCCTCTTCCCTTCCTGCTATAGCCAGGTAGGGCAGCAGCTCCCCAGGTGCCCAGGGGAGGGAGGAACCCTTCCCCGTGCTCCCACCAGGAACTGCACGTGTGGGTTTTCCTGTGCACAGTATATACTTGTGTCCAGGAGTTAGATTTATAGCTGCCATTCTAAAAATACTACTGTTAGAAAGTATTTCATTATAATTTCAGATTATAAAAAAGCATATAAAAGCTATAATCCTATATATCTGAGAAAAAAAATCTGAATAAAAAAGTGGTAGCTTTTCCTTTCCCATTAGATATAAAACAGCGGCTTCTGGAATGGCTAGCACTGCCTAGTGGGCAGATGTGGCATGACTGGTACAAACAGGTTCTGGCTGTGAGCGAGGCAGGTGTGTGTCCATGCAGGTTCCCGTGGCCAGTGCCTCTGCAGGCATCGCTGCTGACCAAGCAGAGGGTGGTACTCTCAGCAGCAGTGGGCAGCAAGACCGTGGCAGGAAGGTAGTGCTGGCAGCTGACCACACCCCAAACCATAGCATGAAGCCTTAGGGGTCCCCAGTCCCATCCACAGCTGGCTGTTCTGGGAGCCATGGAGGCTGCGCAGGATCTTCAGCTCCTGGCCCAGTCCACCTGTGAGGTGGCTGGGGTGTCAGGGAGGCCTTCAGCCTGCTGTGGGTTCGGGTCCTGACGTTTACCTGCTGTGCCTGGAAGACTATTTCTTATTGGCGATCCTTCTTTTCCTTGTTGCCAGCATGTCATAGAAGGGGTCCCTGCTGATGCTGGCTCTGTGGAAGCAGAGGACAGAAGGTGAGGGGAGGAGGGGAATCTTATCAGAGCCTGCCCACCCCTGTGGGGCCTTACTCACTTGATGGACTTCATCCACTCCTCCTTCTCCTCCGGGCTCGGCGCAGAGATCCGGTACACCACGTGGTTCCCCTCTACCACCCTGCCGTCTGCCTCTGTCTTGCAGGCCTTGATCACCTGCCCTTTGTGGCTGGGGTTGTATAGCTCAAAGCAGTTCTGGGGGGTGGGGGGGAAGGAGGAGAGGCAATCACTGCCTGCCCAGAAAGGCCTTGCTGGCCACATGGATGGAAAGGGCTTCACCAAGGGATGCCACTTACAGGTTTCCGTGGGTCTTCCACCTCCCGGATGCTGAGATTCTCCAGTGGGATGATGCCCCTGGGCTCCTTGTCCTATGAGAAAAAGAGAGAGAGGTGTGCAGGGTCCCAGGGTCCCTCGTCGTGAGGGCCTTGCGAGCCACACTTACTGTGGTGTACTCGAAGTAGTAGAGGCAGTTATCGGTCAGGATGAACCAGCGCCGCTTCCAGGTCTTCACACGGCCGCCTACAAGCAGAAGAGCCCCATGAGGCAGGGGCTGGGGATGGCCAGAGCCCGAGGGGGCCCAGGACCCCACAAGTCACCCACTACACCTTCTGCAAGGCCACAGGAGCCCAGCTTAGAACTGGGGTTCCTCATGAAACTGTTCGTGACTCAGACAGCAGCTAGCAAAGGTCAGGCCAAGCTGCGTGGTGGGTGTGCTGTGGGGCCCACATGCACCCCCACCCGGCCCCCACAGAGTCCTCTCCGTGCCACCCAGATCACGTGCTCCTCTCTGCTTCCTGGAAGGTTAGTCGGAATGGATGGGCGTAATTTCCCCGTGAAATGACAACATGATGGAGTCAGTGCCAGCTCACCCAGGGCTTGATCTGGTTATGTCGGGGCTGTTAGCGCATTATTGGGACGCTGCACAGCCCTGGGATCCATCAGAGTCAATTACCCCCGGCTCAGGGAATTGTTAGATTCAATTAGTCTTCTAAGGAGATCAGGAGCATACCCTGTGTACACACACACACACACACACACACACACACACACACACACACACCATCAGGAGCACACCCTGCACACATACACACCCCATCAGGAGCACACCCTGGACACACATACACACACACACACACACACACACACACACACCACACACACCACCGGCACCCCCCCACACACACACTTGTGTACGCACGAGTTCCTACTCTCTCCACTACGGAAAGACAATCTCCCACCCTCACTGACTTCAAGGGCTGCCTCACACTTCTACCAGGACAACCAAAACATAAACAAAAAGAGAAGATGCTCCAGTAAGACCCAGATGCTGCGTGAGGCTGGCTGGGTGCAGGCTCATAGCTGGCCCTGAAGGCGCTCAGGCCTGGCATCCTCCACCCATCAAGCAGGAGAGCTGGCCACTGCAGCTGGGGTCACAGAGGCACACACAGGCACTGCGAGTGGGGTGGGCTCTGGAGGGCAGGGCTGAGGCAGGAGCTTCTCAGACCCCAGATGAGGAGACAACGACAGAACCCCACTGGGAACCCCTTCTCCCTCACCACTGGGCTTCTCTGGTGGCCTACGTGCGGCGGGAGGCACCTGAGTGCCAGCGGTCCCCGTGCCTGCCTCTCCCCACACAGCGCCCCACCCCTTGCCCCAGAATGTCTGACTGGCTACGTCCCCTGAGAGTCCCGATGCACTTCCACAGCCACCTCAGCGCCTCGCTGCATCCTTACCACCCAAATCACGCACTCCCGCCACAGGGCCTTTGCTGGGCCTAGGGTGGAACATCTCTTTCCCTCTGGCTCTCCTGGCCATGGCCAAGCTCTGCTTGCACCTGTTGGAGTGTTGGGCCAGGCCCGCCAGGGGCCTCATTCTACAGGGCAATAGGGCAGAGAGAGGCTCTTTACCCCAACATCCCAAGATCAGGGGACATATCAGGTCTTCTGGGCACCCTTCCCAGGCCCCAGACGGTGACAGAATCAGCTGACAGCGCTGCCTCTGGGCCCTAGCCTTCTTCAGAGACCCCAGAACAGACCATCCCACGCCAGCTGCACTGGCACCCTCTGCGGCCCAGTGTCCATTGCTCAAATG